TTTTCATAACTTTGTGTCCACAAATTCAAAATGTATAGTCAGTAGTAATCTATAAAAAGAATTTGAATTCATGGAATTGGCTAAATTATATACAAAGAAAGCTAAAATTGTTTAAAATTTTTGTATTTGTGTTTCGATGTGCGCTAGCACGCTGTGTGAGACTATCTGCGCAGTCGCAAAGCGATATAACAAATATTTGTGCGTTACCATGGTTATTGTTGATATTAAAATATAAAAATGGATGTTCTAAAGATATGAAGTTGTGTTTTTGATTGTTTATTCAGATACCATTTTTTAAATAAAAGTAAACTGTCAACACTGATATGTCCATTTTTTCATTTTTCATAAATATACAGTTTCCGTTGCCGGTGGATATTCAAACACTAAATTTTTTCCTAACCATACTCATTTGGAAAGAAATACGTGGAATCAATATGAACCTGTGATATTCACAGCAAGTAATATATACAGTTTTGCATGGCTTCTGTGACGAGTTACTTTAAATCCAATACTTAAACGTAATAAAAAATTTTCAAGAGTTTTATCTACATTTTCTTTACAAAATTTCTTCTATCTCTTTCTGTTTGTTGGAATTATGGTCACCCTATTTTTAATCTTCTCTGTTTACAAATAGTTAATGATGTAATTTCATATATTTCTCTGAAATAGCATTTATAAGCTCAAAAATGCTTATAGTTACTCATTCTTCTTTTAAATAGCAGATTAATATTCCGAAAAGTTAGCTGTTAAAGGTTTCTATAATTTTTCATCTCCTTTAAATTTACTCCAGTCATTTAATATGTTCACTCAGTAAATTATCAAAATGAGCAAAAATAGAATTTACTTTTTTAGAAAAATATTAGTGTTATAAAATTATTTTATTCAGTAAATTATCAAAATCAGCAAAAATGGCATTTACGTTTTTAGAAAAATATTTAGTTGTATTTTATTTTTAGCCCAAAGGGGCAATTTGCCCAGAAAGGCTATTAATTTCGTTTAGCATTTTGAGTCGTCCATTATAGAACGGGGTTTCACTTTTCAGATTGTTGCCACCAAATATTAGAGCCCTGCCTTATATTTAAAGAAATTAAATAATGAAGAATGAATGTATGTATGTTTCTCGCATTGTGACAAAAACAGCGGTACCTATAGACATCAAATTTTAAATAACGTAGTAAGCATATGGGCATCTGGAAGCCCAAATTTGGAATTTGTTTATATTTTGTTAACATAATATTTCATATTTCGTAAAACCTTAACGAATTTTTGATTAAGAAACTCGATTTCAGAGCGAGCACTGTACGGAAACAAAAGAAAAAAACAGCAACAACAACGAAAAAAAAAAAAAAAATCCTCTTCAGAGCGCGACGCTGTGTATCGGAAATTCTAACGGTTTTTTTTTTTTTTTTTTTTTTTTTTTAGTCCAAAGGGATTTGAATCCCGAAGGACTATTAGTTTCGTTTTGGCATTTTGCGTCGGACTCATAAATGTCGGTTCACTTTTCAAACTGTTGCCACAAAATGTTAGAGTCCTGCATTATAATTGAAGAAATTAAATAATGAAAAATCTGCATAAATGTATGTATATTTCTCGTATTGTGATAAAACAACGGTACATAGAGTCATCGAATTTTGAATAACGTAATCCTCCAACGAATATGAGCATGTGGAAGACCAAATTTGAAATTTGAAATTTGTTTTATGATCGATTTCCTATTTTTTAAAACTTTGACGAATTTTTGATTAACAAACTCAAGGATTTCAAAGCGAGCAATGGCAACGTTGTGCAGAAAAAACATTTTTATCTCCAGCGCGTGAGTCTCTGTATCGGAAATTCTAAAGATATGCTCGTTTTAAAACTATTTTGCGATATTGCTGTTGCACTGGATCTTATGGTTTAAGTGCGAGGAACATGATATTTAATAAAGAAAGGTAACACACAAAATGTTAAAAAACGCCCCTTTGGACGTAATTTAAAATCTGAAACATTTCAGATTTATATATATATATATATATTTTGGGACATTGCTGTCGAATTAAATTTTATGGTTTAACTGAGAACGTGATATTTAATAAATACGGATAACACACAAAACGTTGAAAAACGCTGCTTTGGACATAATATAAAAATTTGAAAGCTTTCAGACTTTTTTTATTTACTGTCTTTCTAATACTATTTTTAATACTCTCTTTCTTCCTCAGGCACGAACACACAGAAAGAAAATTAATCATGAAATCCTGTTTGGAAATTCTTGTTTCGGAAATAACAACTTCCCCAAAACTATTTTTTCATATTTAAAAGAAAATTAGAAAGTCATGATGCAGTTTTTGAAATACTGAACTTCCCTTATACCAAAAACTGAACTAATGACCATATTTTTTTTTTTTTTTTTTTCTTTTTACACATGCATACTATGCTTGAATAAATGAGGCTACGGCTACCTTCTAATCCATCTAAAATGTTCGAAGTATTCTTATTTCCATAAATACTTCAATATTCATTTGTTTGTTAGAAAAATTCTGTTGAATAAATAATCAAAAGTAATTTAAGAAACAAAAATCTAGTGGTGTAAACAAAGATATGGAGCATATGAAAATTAAAACTGATAATGAAATGCGATATCTGTAAAGAAAATTAAAGAATTTTGGTTCACAAACAATCTTTATAAAAATCATCTAAATTTTAATATAAATTCCAAGACTGCTACATTTCTTTAGCTAATCAGAAAAAGGAAAGAAAGCTCGGTTAAACTGTGGTTACATTTTATCCAAAATTTGCAAATGAATATTAATTTCCAGCAAATGTTTTAAACAGTCTTACGTTGAGCAAGTAATGTATTACACATCTAAACGTTTTCAATTTATTTGATATTCGGAAACAGAATGTCATCAGCTATTCATTTCTAACATAATATTATAATGCAACATTTCATGACCTAATGACATCATTTTCAATCAATTAAAAAACAAAATCATTTTCCACAAAGCTGCATCTATCTGGATTACTATAAGATGATCCTGAAAGAAAACTATATTCTTCAACATATATTGTAGACACTTAGCAGACAGGCCTTTTAATTTTGATGGATTCAAAAATTATTTGCAAAGCCATCTGAGTCTGGCACATTATCGCCTCAAGATTTTTAATGGTCTTCCGCATGTTTCGTTGAGTAAACGGAAGTGCTAACATTGGGCTGCTCGCAGCAAGATATGCCATAGCAGGGAGGAATATGTAGACCGTTGGCCTAAATCTTTTCCCTGTCTCGTCCGGTCTGTCTGCTTAGTTATTGAAAAAAAAAAAGGAGGTGGCATGAATACCGCGAGGGAACAGTGTCCTCTCGTTGGCCTTGGGTGATGCAGTGAAAGCATCTTGTGAGGATATCTTTTAATCACGAAACCGTAGCATTGTGAGTTAGGACAATGGAGTAAAACAAAAGACGTTAGCTGATATGGGCAAAAAGCACGACTGCAAGCAAATTTTCTTCGTCCGATATCTAACACTTAAAAAAAAAAAATTTAAAAGTACTAGTCAAATTATCCAAATTAAAGAGTGCATAAAAGTCCTTACCCAGCCTTTGTTTTTATAACCGTTTAATCATAGGCATATACTTTCAGTTACAAAAATGTTTTAAATGACACAAAAATTCAAGTTTTAGCATTTTTAAATTTAACGAAATTATTTATATGAAAATTACATAATCTAATTTTTTACACGTTTTTTCGTTTCCTACTTATATTTAGGAAACTTTTGTACGCTTTATTTAAATAAAGCACGAGAAGTTTGGCACTGGCACGACAAAAATTAACCGAGATAAAATTTGATATATAAATCGGAAATCATATTTAGGGACCGTACACAAATTGAAGAGCGATAAATAAAATATCGTTTAGAAAAAGGTTTCCGATATTAAGACATTACATGCAGAGGATTTCTGTGCAGATTATTGTGAAAAATATTGGTCGATATAGTTTCATGCCCTCCCAAAAAAGAAGGAAGTTACATTCAAAGAATCTTACAGAACTCGTGCTCTGGTAAACACTGACAGCTTCAGTATTGGCCCGTAGTCATCTCGTAATATTGCTTGCATTAATTAAAAATGAAAAACATTTGTACGTTAATGAATTTTTTAAGATTACCAAATTATGATTCTAAAGCGATAGAACTTCATGAGAATATTTTCAGATTTCGAAAACTTTATATTACTTGCGTAGAAATTCTTTCAGCTTATCCCATGTAACAAAATTGCAACTAAAGATACTAATAAATCTCAAAGAAATATTATTGAATGGTATTTAAAGGGAAAAAAATTTGCCTCTAATTATCCCAATTTATATGAAACAGAACCCTTAAATACCAGTAGGAATGGTTTTTTTATTCCTCGACTTAATAACATCACAAAAATGCAAGCCAAACGATTATTAACTACTTAAATTATAACAAAACAATAAATGATAGTTAATTTTCTTAAAATTTCATAAAAATGTAAAATCGTTTAATTACATTCTACAGAAAAGCCATGAAGTAGGCAACTACAAAAGTACACATGCACATTCAAACATGAAAAAAGAAAGAGTCAAAAAATACATTGCCATTTACGCATTTGATCATAATCAATAACCTACAATTATTTTAGTTTCCAAATTGTGAAAATACTAATGAAAATTTATGTATTTATTACGTCACCAAATTGATATTAATAATAAATATAAAAATGCCTCTGTTAGTAATATTTTATGAATCCACTTAATTCCAAATATTACACATACTTTCAGTAAAATTACACTGCTTTTGAATGTTTCATCAATTAATGGTCATGCGCTATTTAAAAAAGATGGAGGGACTGAATAATTTGATGCTTCATATAGAAAGCTTTGATTCAACTCAACGTAACTGCAAATAAGCAGACGACATTTCAGCGAAGGGGGGGGGGAAAACGTACGTTTTTCATACTGTGTTACACACATTCTGTACTCTTAGATCTGAAAGGTAAAGAATTAAATTTTTTAAAAATTCTATGTTTAATTAATGATTACATTACTCTTTTTAAAAGAATTTAAGGAGATAGCTATACATATTCAAACATCTTAGGATAGTTTAAACACGTTGTAACCTTTAGAAGATTTACGGCTAATGTATAAACATTCTTTTCTTTTAATGAAATTTTATTTGTTCTAATTCTCCAAATGCGTAACTTCTCTAGAGAGTTACATACACATACTTAATTTATTTATTAAATCATTTAATATTTCAGATGTCACAGACAGAAAATATTCTAAATCCTACAAATAAATATGATGAAATTTTCGATGCTGTTCTTTCCGATAATGCTGAATGTAAGTATAATTTCTTATAAAAATTGATTAAAGGCTTAATATCATTAGATTTTCAATTCGAATTGCATTTTAGAATGTTTTTATTACCTTTGTTTATTTATGATCTATTAAATTAAAAACACAAAAATTATAAAATTTTTATATTTTTAATTTAATGGATAGTAAACAAATTTAAAAAAGTAGAGAATTCAAGGCATAGAAATACACAAACACTTACCTTAAAACACTCGTTACTATGAATTAGTTTAGAAATGTTTATTGTGAACAACTACAATTGGCTGCAAAAAGCAGGTTAAATAAAGTAAATCTGAAAAGAACAATTATTTACGAACATAATAACGAACGAAGATTAATTTATTAAATTATGAAAATTCTTATTTTATGTAATGTAAATTTTAGCAAAAGAATACGAGTGAAAATTTAGTATACGGTGGATCAAAACTTTTTTTAATAAAATTATTTATTTTAAAAGAACTAAAAATTAACTCATGTAATAATTTGAAACTCAAAGGTTTTGCCGACACGTTTTGCAGAGAATAGTTTCTGCTACGTTTCCTGATTTTAATTTTAAAATGCATCAAAAAAATTATTAAAAGAATTTCAAACTATCAGTTCCTCAGCAAAATATTATTAAGACATTAATATATAATTAAATAAAGTATTATTAATATTATTAAGACTTTAATAATTTTAATACTTATATTACTCACTGAAAGTTATATAGGTACACAATTTTAGGGCTCTTATTACGCGTAACCAAAGTACTGAAACTGTTCACATAAATTTATTTGTTTTAAGCAAATTGATAAGTTCATGTTTTAGGATCAATATGTAATAAAACTGAAGATTCTCTTCTCAAAATATCCTACATAGGCAACTAAGATTTATAGTTATTAACATCGTTTCATTTGTATCATATACATTTATATGCAAAAAGATTTTTAAGCACAAAATTTACTTTTTCGTAAAATAAAAATCATGCCGATTTGACAAGGCAAATAACACTGTTGCCTGTAAAATTAAGGCAGTAGGGGTGGAAAGATTTTTCCTACATTTTTCATTTAAGGTCACATATTGGTTTCGTGAAACTTCTTAAATACAACTTAAAATATTAATACTTTACTAGAGACATATTTTTTACATCATAAAAGTTATGTCTTGGCTTTTAATTTTCGTTGATATTTTTATTATAACTCTATCTGAAAAGCCAAAGACTCACATCTTGAAATAAAAGAAATGGACGCAAATCCCAAAGTGAAATTAACAAACTCAACTACCCTTCCCAAAGTCAAGAACGGTATAAGAAAAAGATGCAATGGCGCTACAGGTAAGAATTATATACTGTTTGTGTATTATATACTGCATATGTGTAAAAAAAATAACAGTAACTGACTATGCAGAAGTGCAGTTTAACATAACTTTATTCTATTCTTCACCGTAACAACATTCGGTAGGAAAAAATATACATTTAATACAATACAAAGTTTGAGATCCGTCGTTGGGACGGCGTCCATTCCAGATTTTAGATCATCAGTTTAAATATAGTAAGATGGCATGTAGACATAGTTACACTGGGGCTTCCTTTATTATTTAGATCATTTAGAAGAATGCTTACCCCTCCTCGAAAAGACTAGCCCCTTCGAGCCGGGCAGCGCAAACGCGCGCTTATCGCGGAGGCCGGCAGTGTCTTACGCGAGAGTCTGTCCAGGGCCGGGGGCCTTTTTGCTACTAAGCCTAAATCCATGAAATTTCCGAAGTATCAACGCATTGTTTAATAATGCTCTATAGAGTATTTAAACGGCTTATGCTTTATAGATATTTTTATACTATATACTTTAATTACCTTATTTCTTGTTTAAATGCATATTTTACACATTTTATTTTCATTACTCACCATTTTATGACTTTTAACATTATACATCTGAAAACTAAATATATTACTTAAAATTCTTCTTTTTCGTATGAAAAAATTTTGAAACAGGGATCTACACACAGTCCTACGTTACATTCCTTGCACTCGTAATAATCATTTGCCGTTTTGGAGGATTTTCTGGGAATGTGAACAAACGAAGCATCGTCGTCTCATTTTCTTATCAGTCTCTTCTGAACAAAGTTTCGGAAAATGTCTTTCAGTTAATCTTTCAGAATCAATATTATAATATCAGAATTTCAGAATCAATATCTGAAATATTTTGCATCATTTCTGCTATTTCATGCTCTGTTAAACAGTTTCGACGCTTCGACATTGCAACGGTAAAAACAGAAAGAATTCACGTCTAACAAGATCTAATTATTTTCTAAAAACTGAACTGCAAACCGAAATACACAACGCTTTAGCGCAAATAAAACTTCTCTATTTAAATAAACAACTACCACGTGCGAATAAAGTGCGATTTAAAGAGACGTCATAAATCACGCCATTCGGAAACATTCATTTCCCCTTTTGTTTATATAATCAAAAACACGTGTATGTGAGTCATGCTTCTCTCATTTCGAGTAGAAGGTCTAATGTACGTGTATCTGAAACCATATGGACATACAGTGCCATCTTGTGGCAGAAATGATAGTTTGAAAAACGTTCCAGGACACTGGCACAAATACGTGACAGTCGGTAGTAAACGGGAAAATGCTCTGGCACGCCTGCGTGTCGGCCGGGAAGTGAGTGTGTTTGTTGCTGGCACGTAGACGTGACAGTCGGCGCGAAGGGGCTAGTGTTTGAGTCGGACTACACCAGTAGGCAATTTTTTTAGAATTTAGAGGGGAACCGAGCAGCAAAAATCGAGGATGGTAAAATATTTAGAATTTAGAAATTTAGAAGAGGTACCGGGCAGCAGAATTTAACAGCGAATTTTTTTTTTTTTTTTTTTTTTTTTTAAAGAATTTAGAGAGGTATTGGGCAACAAAATTTAGGAGCCACAGAGATTGCGCAGGGTGGCAAAGTGTATAACACCGACCATGCCCCCCCACAACCACTCAACGGCGATATGATCCTTGCTAATATTGCTATTGACTGCGGTGGGCCTCCCTAAGCATCAGGTGGTTGAAAGTGACATGCAGGAATCTCAGTCGGCTCAGGCAAACTGGAAAATGTTCGCAGAAAAAGGTGCCCGCGTATGATTGCTAACGGCATAGTGGTAGTCAATTTTCAATTCCTTGAGTTGTACGAGCTCTTGGGATCGGAAAATAACACACAAAAGTTCAACGTGATGTGAAAGTCGTAAGTGACAGGAACTAGATTAAACTAGTTGCATGTCTAATAAATAAAAGCAGAGTTCGTTGCTAAGGTATCTTAGGACCGCAAGCGGTCTTATGCGATTAGTATCAGATTCGTATGCGATTAGTATCAGAGCACCGGAATCTCTGTCAGACAGGAGAAAAATTGCCTTACAGCACACCTATTTCTCTTTATAACGTATTATATCACCCATTTCTAGATTTTATAAGGAGGGGATTTTTTTAATTAATTTATTTATTTAATGGCTGGTGGTCAAGATGTTCGAATATTGGGCGTTCAGATTCTCTAATATAATACATTTCTAATATTCCAGACTACTAATGAACTATGCAACTAATAAAATAAAAAAAATAAAAAAATCATAAAATGGATCACAGAATAAACAAAGTCAAATTAAAAACTTGATAAAACAGAAAGCAATGACATTTATGCAATTTTAATGAGATTTAATTTTTTAAGGGAAAATGAAAAAATATCTCAAGTGTTTAATATAAAATATTCAATAATTCTTCAAAATATTTTTACATGAAAAGTTTTCGATATTCAGTAAACATATGCAATAAAAAATAGGCAAAGAGTAAATTATTATAAAATAACAGTGACAATCTATTACTGTATTATAAGAACTGGCATACTTTTATTTTAATGTTTACAATTTTTTACTTCCAAATCATAGAAAATGCAGCTAATGCGAAGAAACGAGTCAAAAAGTTCAGAGAAACAACGAAAGATAGGCTTTTAGAATGGAATTCTTTTTATTCTAATACTGATTTTGGTGTCTGGATTGAGTGCACTAAATGTCATAAATGGCGCCATTCGAAGGAGTATAGTGAAGACCATGAAGTGCCAGAAGACTGGATTTGTTCAAATACTCAATCAGGTAAATTCATAAAAGACATGTGCATTGTCTGCAGTCAGAACTGTTCAGAATAAGTTTCAGATGTTTTCTTCTTAAAATCTATAAATTTTAGCTTTACATTTATTCATCAAATATGGAAAAAAAATGGTGCACTTTTTACCCTAGGTAAAATTTATATTAAAAAAAATCACATTCATAATGTACTTGGGAAAACTATCACCTCATCTAAAAATATTTTTTAAAAAGTATATGATACTCTGTATGCTTTAAGATTACTATGTTTACAGTATTCTTCGTATAACGACCTTCACTTTTGCTGAGTGGATTCAATTAGATTTAACATCACTATTTTAGATAGTTTCCATTTTTATCACCCTTTTTTAAACAATCTTAGTTGCAGACTGCCCTTGATATGTATTTTTTACAAAGGACTTCCCAAAACTGTCCTATTAGAGCAGTAGCAGCTCTAAATTTTTTTTTTTTTTTCCCCTATGCATTCTTTTCACCATTGCTAGAAAATCATTCCCCTCTTCTTTCCATGTATGTACATTTATTTAGATTACTTTATAATGCGTTTCATAAATTAAACAACAAAAAGTAAAGGAAATAACCAAAACTTGAACAAAAATAGTTCCTTAAATTAAATATTTAACAGTTAAGGAAAAGGCTGAGTGCACTCCATTTCCCCCTAAAACTATGAAATTCGCCTCTGGTTGAGAACCCCTGTACTAGAACAATTCCTGAAGACTGAAAAGAAAATTCCATAAATTTAATGATGTTACATAATAGTTCTACTATATAAAACTATAGAAGATATGTGTTTAGGATCATTATCATGAATAAAAATGCAACTACAATTATGGCATTTCTTATTACATTCAATAGTAAATCATTTGCAAATTATCGGTAAAGACCTAGTAATTTTTATTTCAGTTAACTGCTTTTAAAACCAAAGGCACTTACATAACTTCAAATCAGTATGGGAAGCATATTCATTAGAAGCATTGTAGGGATATGTTTCCTTTCTTCCATACATGGCCCCCCTCCCAGGTGTCAACGTAGAGTACTCTGCAAAGTACTGGCTAGGATCTGTACCTAGGCAGTCTCGGCCATGGGGATATAAAATTTATAAACTTGGCGGTTCCCGATGGTCCATGAGGTGGATCCTATATTCACTCTTCATGGTCTGGGAGGTGTAAGTCCTCATCCACCAGGGTATTGGTAGTCAAATAGCAACTGGACCATTGAGAGTCTGGTCACTGCTGTCCTTGGTATTCTATGTAAAGCCTAAGGAAAGGGGCATCCCGCGTAATGCTGGCAGGTAGCCAAAATGAACGCCCAGTCATCGCTCCAAGTTGTCATCTGCCCACCCTACCGTGGTCTCGGTCCGGCCGGGATGCTGGTTCTGGCTGGCCCGTGTTTAGCAGTGGTATATTAGAGGGAGTCTAAAATAGTTGGTGTCTCTGGGTTGTGGGTCCCTGGGCCCAGCTGGTGTGTCTAAAAGACGCCCAAAATGGGTGTGCTGGCCAATGTTTGATATTGGTCCTCATTGTGTGATTCAGTTCACAAGGTGGGTATAAAGTTATGTTACGTTCTTCCATACATGCCCCATCAGTGGCCGAGTGGTTAAAATCTCTGAATACTGAGAATTCGATCTGGATTCGATCCCGGGTGAACAGGCTGGCTAGTTTTCGTGGTTTTCCACAAGCATAGCATGAATACGAGCCCATTTCCCTTAGAAAGTCCTCCACGAAGGCATCCCTCTTTCATTCTGCAGATAGCCTAAAGAGAGTCTATACCATATCCCAATAACCAGCCTTCCCTATATTATACATTTCCTATAAAAAATGTTAATTTTTCCTGCAGATAAATGTCATTAAAAATGTTGGAAAGCCACAATTCAATTCAGTTGCAGTCAGGTTTTTTTGAAGCAGGAGACGTGAAAAATATGTAGTGCCCTCGCCCGGACTCTAACTCCGGACCAATAAAATACGCATCAAATATACTTCCCATTACACCACGAAAGCATGCGGCAAGGAGGGAAGAAATACCTTATACAGTAATCACGGAATTATACGAAACATAATCAGTAAAGTGCACTAGAGTTCCATCTTGGAATATTATATTCCTTCCATTATTCTTATATCTTCTAATGAAATTAGCTAAATAGCATCATGAATAAAAAGCAGCATTCATAGTTCCATTTCAAAGATTATGATCCTAATAAATGGTATGATGTTTTCCTGTTGGATCATTACATGAGGTGGACTGCACCATAAAATGAATATTATGAATGCTGCATTACAGTATGAAATAATTGAAACAACTCGCATTACTTTTAATCAATATCTGCCTAAATAATGTTGCATTTTTTTTAGCTTAAGAACTATACTGTATGGAACTCTATACTGTATGGAAATGTCTTCAGTTAGTGCAACTGTAAGGTGAATTCATAGCGTACTTATAATACAAGTACAATCAATGTTTTTATTTCACTCAAACATATAGCAAAATTTTAGCATAATTTACATAGCGTAATTCATATTTGAAAGGCCTAATTCGGTACTTTTCCGCGGTATTATATCATATTCACTCGTTTTTAGCATTAATTAAAAGTATTAATTTTAGAGACTAAGTTATCTAATAAGCTTATAAAATAAGCATTTCTAAAAATAAAATATTGGATTTAGTAATTGCAGTTCAAATACTGCTTTTACATATTTACATGTTTTAAATAATAGTATAATTTGCATTTGGTTTTAAATAGCATAAATAAATTTGAATTTACTTCCACTGAAAATTAAAAGCATTGCATGCAGTATTACTTTTTAAACATCACATATGTAAATGTCATACACAAAAAAAAAAAAAAAAAAAAAAACCACTGAATTTAATCATAAAAGTGCTGATGAATTTATATTTTTAATCCAAATATGCGTAACCAGATGGATGTTTCAGAATAAAGTTACCAAATGCCAAAAAAGCGTTCTACGGCTGACGAAAAGGGAAAAAAAGGGGGGACCTTGTAAAGAATATAGCACAAAATGCATAGTTGAAGGACATTGAACATCAGTAATAAGAGTATGAAGAGAGTAGCTGCCTCTGCATCTCTAACATCCAGTAACACTATAGAGGCATTAAGCTTTTTTTAAAACAAGAAAACATGAAAAATGAGCAATGCCCTCACTGGGACTCAAACCTCGGACCTCTCGAATACACACCGATTGTCCTGACCATTATACCATGAAGGGATGCTAAGAAGGCTGGAGAAATACCTTATATACTCCCCCTTTTAAAGGGCGATTGGGAATTAAGGGGACCCAATCGCCAAATCCTGGTGATGGAGAATCATCATCCACCACCTTTTTTTAGTTTGGGTGCTTCTGTAATTAGTTTTTTTTTTTTTTTTTTTTAAAGAGACATGAAAATTGAACAATGCCCTCGCCGAACTCGAACCGAGTGTGCTGACCATTACAGCCCGAAGGCATGCTAAGAAGGCGAGAGAAATACCTTATAACATATGTAGAATCTATTAAAAAGGCAGTACTGTATTCCATGAATTCTGGCAGCATATTGAGAGCATCTTAGCTGTATATTTTTATAATTATTAGGTAATGAAATATCTGATAATTTGTAATACAATTTACTTTACTAGTGGAATAAAAGCAGCTGGGATTAGTAATGCAAGCTCTCCTACTTTTTCAACACATTAAACTGCGTTCAGAGGGCAGCATAAAAAGCACAGAAGCATAGTCACATAAGGGCATAAAATACAGAACATCTGTTCACACTTGCGAGATGGGGTTCTAAGCTGCGGCCAACGAGAGAAGCTAAATTTGCGCACGTGTGGATGTATCTACACCCTTTCACGCGCTGCTTTCTAGCTCGATTGATTTCCAGCGCTCGCTCTGCTTGTTTTCGTTATTTTCTGTCATGGCTTTTTCAGCTCATTACAAAGTTTTACTGGTTCAACAGAATGCTCTTTTATCTGCCCTTCTTATAAGCCAAGCGGCAACAGAAGAAAGTAAAAAAAGAAAAAGAACGAAAACGGTCTAGATATATATTTTTGGAAAGACCAATAATTGATTGGCACATATTTCTGTGGAAAGCAGTATGAAATATTTCCGCACTATACTGTATACTCTCTATACTACAAACATGCACATGCATATTTATATATATATATATAAAACCTTCTTCAATTTTTATATATAACTCTCTTAGGAGAAATACAATATTATAAATATGGCCTAATTAAAAAAAAAATCTTGAGGATAACTGGACAGCCTGTTATTAATATTTTTCCATTTTTGCAGTTGTAAAAAGCGTTAAAGCGAAAACAGAACTTACCATACATTTTTTTTTTTTTTTTGGGGGGGGGGTTTTCAATCAAAAGGAAACATGTTTTTCTGTGACAGTGAAACATGTGTGCTTAGCATCCTTATTCACTGTCACTATCGATCACTACAGTAGTTGGCTGCACTACCAGTATCAATTATCACTATACTAGTATTCCACAACTGGTCACCATAACCAGCAACCACAACTAGTACAATATCAGGAAACGTTCACCCAACAATGTATTTTATGCTCAATCATTAAATACATTTTACTGTGTTGCCAACCGTTTATATACATCTATTTCTAATAATTTGCATGTATAAGCCGCACCCCTGAATTTAATTTCAACATATGCTGTCATTTCTATTTATGACCAATATCTCAAAAGTAATTTCACACTGACAAATTTTAGGTACCCAGTCTTCAATACAACAAATTATAAACATTCATACCTATCCAGAATTTATACCAGAGAAATAGCATGAATTTAATGGTCCAAAATTCCATTCAAATGATAGTAATATAATAATAACAAATCTATTCATTAAATTATAGTCCACGTTATGAATTATGTGTGTTATTCGGTTCCATTAAAAATAAATTCCTTTCATGGTGAATGTAATTAAAAAACAGAACAGAACTTCAACAGGAGACAAAACTGTCTAGACTGTTGTTTTAAGGATATTTCACTACATTTTTTTCCTTCTTGGAATTAATAAGAGTATTTTCTCAAAAAGATTAATATTTATTACTTATACAAAGTACACCATTGAATTGACTATTCTTAAATAAGTGAAAAAATTTTTTTTTTTTTTTTTTTAAAGTACTAGTTTTTTTAAAAACTGGAAAAAAAAAAAAAAACAGATTCTGATATTTGATTTGATGTTTTTTTAGTAAAATTAATTCATGGAATTTGTTTGGAAAGAAAAAACAACAGCATTTGAAGCAAAAAATAGCAATACAATTTCCAGTTTTTTCCAAAAATTTCTTAAATACGAAAATAATAAACAGGAAGAAATGATAGTAACAATTTATACAAAAAGAATAAACAGAAAGAAAGTACAATAATAATTTACACAGAAAAAAATAAAATTTTTGCAAGCATGCATGTTTTAAAGAATTTTCATAATAAAAGGAAAAATATTGGATGGGATCAAACATCTACAGCATCATACACAGCGTGCATAATCCTGAGCTTAACTTTCATTTATGAGTTTCATCCATATTTTTCAATTTATACTGAAAACTCATTAAAAAATGCATGTCATCGTCGTAGATTTCTTGCGAGATCAACTCATTATTTCATTCGGATATGATTACAACTCATTCAGATACGATGTGCTCCGTATTAAAAAAATTGTCGCCTTCGACAAAGAACGTCTATTCTTTGCCTTCGATGTAACAGCGAAATCGTCTAAACAAAGCCACTTCGTTTTAGCTTCGCTCTGATTGGTCCCCGCTTATCCCAAACTCGGCGTAAAGTTGAAAACTTGGAACCTGGTGCCACGAGCCTTAAGCCAGATTATGTGACGTAGCACAGACTGGTTGCCTTGGCAACGCAGCTCGGCTTTAACCACTTATGCCCTTTACACCCCTGTCTGAACACAGCCTTAGGGACCAGAATCCTGTTAAAAATCAGAAGTCACTAAAATTTGTAAGAGTTTGCAAACATGTTTAAACAATTTTACATGTAAGACCACAACATATGTAAGCTGGGTAATACAGCAAAATTGAATAAATAAATTAAAGCCCACCTATATAAAATATGAAATATATGCCTGAAAAAATAAATTACAAGTCAGGTAAGTAGGTTCTGGTTAGAAGTGAAAAGGACTAAATAACAGATCAACAAAATGCTATAGAAGCCTGTAAAATTTTTAATGCTTCATGTTAATTTAGTAACATAGCGCTATTAATTCATTTAGTGCAATATATGCTGAGTATCAGTTTATATTTCAGATGATGGTAAAGAGTTAACGTGTGACGATCCAGAAGAAAACATGGAAAACATAGAATTTTCACCAGTAAGATATATACCTGGAACAATTGTCTGGGCAAAATTAGCAGGATTTCCATGGTATGTTTAAGAATGTGATGAAAATTTAAAATAGTTTTTACGCATTGCTTAAAGAAAACTTAATCACAGTAAGTGAAATAAAATCAGATTATAAATCAAACACTCTGAATGACTAAATTAATATACAGGTCGTGTGACATTTTGCAAAAGTATAATGTGTCTTAATATCTTATAATTCAAAGTATTAAAATACAAAGATTTTAATACTTTGAATTCAATATGTTTTTTGAATTTTTTTTGAAAATCAATATGTTTGCATAACTATTTTCTTTCTAACAAACAATAATAAATATTGATAAAAACATATTTAAATACAAAACATGCAAACTTTTCAAGTACATCTTAGAACAGAATTTTCATAACAGATATAGATGTAAAATAAATTACAAAATTCATTACAGTGTTGGAAATTCCTGGCATAGCTACTAACTTCATTCTATCAGATTAAATTACAATCTATAATAAGATTTCAGATTGCTTTTAGAATATTAGAGTATTTCAAATCTTATAAATTATGATGATAAAGTCTACCTATTATATATCATATCCACAAAAGCCAAAATGCGATCTTTATTTTCACAGCCATTGATTCCAGACATATGTGTACATCCAATTAAAAAAAAAAAACTTTAAATGACACATATATTCAGGTTTGGCATTTTTAAATTTAAAAAAAAAATGTAAAAAAATGTAAAAATGTACAAAATTTAAAATTTCATATGCTTTCCCAGTTCCTATATTTATATTTAGGAAAATTTTACACTTATTAAAAATAAACCACAAAATATTGTCACTCATGCAACAAAATTTGACAGAGGTATTTAATTTCAAAATTTAGGATTTTTTATATTAATTTCAGCTTGAGTTTGAGAGGCTAGCTAATAAATAAATTAGAATAATTCATGGTTGACCTTTCGTCTTTTCACTGCCATTCAATGATATATCACATATTCTAAATTTCTGAGTCTTTTCCTCACTGATGTCTGAATCATTAGCTATAGTTTGCAATTTCTCCAAGATTTCTTTTACATAAAAGCCATATATTTTTAAATAATTTTATCCATATTTAACAGATTAACTCCTGCATTGATTATACTAATATGGATGGCCTCTTATCCAGATATTTATCTCCTTCGAGGTGCTCGTATTTTTCACAAAACTGAATTTTGTTCATCATTTAATGAACATCTTTTTGTTTAGGCATTTGAAAGCTTTTATAATACTCTAAAACAAAATGTTGAATATTAGAAGTTGTATCTGCAGGAAGAAAATTGTTTTTCAAAAAGATGTATGTGAGGTATATGGGCTAGTAAAACTTTTTTTTTTTTTATTTTCAATAATTTACTGTCTCATTTCAAAAGAAAATCAGTAAAAGTTAAGTTAGAAGTAAATTCTTGACTCCTTTCAAACATTGAGGTTTTCTGTGAGTTTATAACCAGTGCTGTTGTCTTAATTGTAGAGTCCATATGGAAGATGAATAACATATTAACTTATTTCTTAAACCGACAGCTGTTTCACTTTTAAATATTAGTGTGTATCCTGGTAATGTTCTGCAACACAGTCCAGTTTCTTCTATATTATAAATTTCGTTAAGCAGCCAAGCAAAACGTCTTTTATCCAACTATCAGCCACATGATGACCTGTCTCTTCCTTCTCACCATACAGTTTCTGAAGAAAAACGTTGGATTTTTCTTTCTCCAACTTGGAGCCATCTGTAAGTTAATGCAAAATTCTAGCCTGCCATTTAGCAAATTAGTGAAAAGGGCTCTAGAAATAAAAACTCTTTTCAGTTTTTACAGCTTGAAACCATTCTAGAACAGGAGTTTCAACATGTAATGATTTTCTGTCTTTTTGCACTTTCTTGAAACATCTGCATTTATTATTTCAATTATAAATATTATAATTAATTTAATTATTTATTAAATTAATTATAATTCAAGTAAACTGCACAACGGTGTTCAGAAATTTCCAGTTTAAGTAGAGTTTTTCTTTGGCAGTTACCAAGCGCATTAAAATCTTTTAACAATTTATACTTTTCTTTCATGTTTTAAGTCTTTGAGCTTGGCATTTCAACACGTTAGAAGTCAAGTTACACGACAAATATTTTTTTTAAATGCTTCTTCCAATGATTTATTCAAATTTCAGAATTTACGTTTCCAGCCAGCAGAAAGATTATCCTTTGACTGTTTAGTTAATCTGCCTCTTCACGATTACAAGTATGACCAATCCTTTCCTTGCTTTTTATTCAGTTACTGCTTCCTTTCCATTTAAAGAGTCTTAACCCAGCGTTATGAGCGGGAAATTTCGTATGAAAGGCTGGCTTTCTTATTCATTACACATGAAAATTTCTGCCAGCTTTTAATGTATTCGGTTTGAATGTGTATTGGAAGAAAAGGAATCAAGAGAGAGAGAGAGTCTTTTTTTAAATTACAATCAAGAAAATACCATTTATTCATGACATGAAAAACTTTTAAAATTTCAGGGCTTTCAGTGCAAGTTTAAAAGCATTTCATGAATTTTCTTTATAAGTCTCTATAAAATGTCTCTAAATAAAATGTCTACCTCAAAGGGAAGATTTTGAATGTGAAAACCTTAACAAATGGATACAGAAATTGCATTTCCACCTCCTATCAGCTGGTATTTGAGAAAGAACTCTCATCATTTGCAGTGCCTCTATACCAGTGGTCTTCAAACTGTGCCCCACGAAACCCTGAGGTTCCACATTAAGTCAAATCCTAGGATTCCATGTGTAAAAATAAAAATTCAGAAAGAAAATTATACAACTCTCACAATAGTTCACTAGTGTTTATTAACTAAAAAATATAAAGATACATTTACTTATTAGTTTTAAGATTTAACACTGTGTCATAATATGACAAAGAGAATGATGTGCAGTGCTTTGCTAAACTAAACAGTTTTCTAATGGAAAATGAATTAAATTTAGATGACGGTTAAGAATTATACAATGCAGCCCCTTTCCTAACTGAATAAAACTATAGGAGAATATTTCCCAGAAGGAAAAACATAACCATGATATTACAGAAAAGTCTGTTTGAGCACTATGATAAATTGGAATGCTTGCCAATGCAGGAAAGGTAACAACTTATCAACAGATTCAACGTTAAGATCTGAATTTAAGCAAGAGCAACCTATGTCCGGGTGGAAGACTACGTTATTCAAAATTTTATGTCTCTAGGTCGCTGTTTTTTTTCACAATGCGAGAAACTTGCACACATTTGTGCAGACTCTTCATTATTTAATTTCTTTAAATATAATATACGGCTATAATATTTGGTGGCAACAATTTGAAAACTGATAAAAAACATTAAAGTGTTTCAACGTAAAATCCTGTTTCGAGACTTATAGTCCATTCGGAACTCAAGTCCCATTTAGGGTTATAAAAAGACAGATGAAATTTCTTCCCATGAAAACCTAATTCCATAAATTCTTATGTATAATGTTTTGAAGGTTGCTTAGGTGGCACGCTTTTAACCTTCAAATGACTTAAAATAAATTATGTATTATCTTCAGATACTTGTATATTTGTAAAACATTATATCCACCTGTTTTTAGTATTTTTTTTTTTTTGGTTGACATATCATAAATGTTACCTAATGCCATTATTATAATTACCACACAGGTCTTTTATTTGCATAGCACATGGATAAGATTACTACCAGAAATCAACATACCTGCGTCAGAAGATCACCCTATACGTATAAAGCAAAGATCTAGTAAATAGCAGAAATCAAGACACCTACATCATGTGAAAGGTCCCTTAAACCATATAAATATGAAAACTGACACCTTATCATCTTCGAAAATTCAATTTTTTTTTAAAATTCCAAGTAACAAATTTGCCAATTTAGAATAAAACATGAAAGCTTCTAAAGTGAAAAGCTTAATTATACTTTATTCTGCAAGTTAATTACACTTCATATCTTTTAAAATAAATGTTTGTCAATTATATGATTGAATGACATAAGACGTAATGTCAAAGCATGTTTTTTTCCGCCATCTTTACTTTCGCAGCTAAAGAAATTCCTATTTAACCTTAAAAATGAAACTACTTCAAATTCATTAAGTTATTAATTATTGTTTCTTCAACATTTAGTTTCGAGTGTTGTATGGTTGCTATTGTAACAGGAAACTTAAGTTCTGCAGACCTTACTAAACAAATAGTGAGTTATCACTATGTTTTTACTAACTCTTTAACCTTTTTATTTTATCTTAATAGAACAGGCATAGTTTGAGCTACAGACAAAACTTCCACCACTTGCGGATCTTTGAATTAACACAACAAGCAGTAAAAATTAAAAGGTTTATAATGTAAGCTAAGAGTGCAAGTTAAATAGACAAGAAATAAGCTGACTCAGATATTTTAGTGGCGAGTATTTAAAACATAGGCTAGCGAGAATGCTGAAGCACTTTTAAGAAGAGCTGGCAAAAAATAACAACAGTGCAGTTTCCAGTTGTTCTTATCTAAAGACTGAAAACCCTTAGCTTGAATACACACACAGTTAATTTGCATTGTGGTGAGGAATATGGAAAGAAGAAGTTATAGTAAAGACTTAAATCATAATAATTGGTTAATTAACATCATATTTACCATGGGTTCTTTTGTGACATGAGATTTGTTCATTTTAGGTGGCCAGCAATGGTGGAAGATGATCCAGATACAGAAGAATACTACTGGTTAGAAAACAAAACAGTAAGTTTCCACATGTTATATAATTTCAATATGCATTCTCCTGTATGAAGAAGTTTGAAATAGTGTTATTTTCTGAAACACACCTATTAACAGTAATTTACTTTTGATTTTTAATCATTTTCAGGTGTATTACCATGCTACTTTCCTAGATGAACATGTCAGTCGTGCTTGGGTCAGTGAATGCAACATTCGTCCATTCAAAAAAACTCCTTTTGAGAAAGTAAGTATTTTCAAGCAATTATACATAATTCTTGCCTGTAGTACATACATACTCTTCAAATTTGCTTAAATAGATTACAAAATTTAGAATAAAACTGAAAATAAAAGATATCTTTTTTAACAGCATAAGGCAAATAAGAGTTTAATAGCATCACCTCTAAATATGCACTAATATAATTTCTCTTTCTAGTGGCAAAGAAGATATACAAACTTGAAATACCCTGTTTTGATTAAAAAAGCAGAAGAAAAAGCTAAAACAGCAATGCAAATGACAATTAAAGTAAATCTATTATTTTACATTTTATATACATAATACTTCAGTAGAATTAAGATTTTTAAAATAAGCATAAATATATTTCTTCATTTTAGTCTGAGACAAAATTTCTCTTCCCCCCCCCATTAGCCAACATACTATTTCATATATTTTTGGGTTAAATAATGCTTGTTAATATGAAACTCAAAAATTTAATTTCATTATGAAATAAAAATGAATTTCAGGCCATAATGAATTGCAAAAGTAGTCACAGAATTAATTCATACACAGGATGTTGTAGAATACTAATGCTACATCACTAAATGCTTACGTGTATTCTGTGCTAAAGATAAGTGAAAAATATCCAATGAACATGCAGCAAGAGACGCATAATTAAAGAGTTGTGATTTATTGAAAATCGGTGGCAAGAAAATGTGGAGGCTATACGCTTTAGAAAAGACCCCTAAAGGCTATCCCCTTTAAGTTTTTTATAAACATGATAAAATACATTAATAAAGATGATAACATACACTGATAATCCCTAATTCTTTTCCAGTTTACATTTATTCCTTTAATATGTTTTGAATCTAAATAAAAATCAAAATTATAGAAGCGAAAGCTAATTACAGAAAGCTAATTCATTATGAGAAAGCTAATTCCACAAAGAGAAAATTATTTCATGAAACTTATTTTCCAAAAGATAAATCTAAATTTTTGTATTTTATTACATAACAATATTTCTAAATTAACATCTCATTTGGAAGATGATGGACAGAAATGAAAGATTCTTCTTTGAATTTTAGCTATTCTTTCTTGTGATAGCTTTATAATTAACAAATAACAGTGGCTAATTTAACATAGAAATATCAGAAGAGAAAGCTGAAATTTCCAGATTCCAAATACGTGGTATATATGCTTGGCATTTCACATTCATTTTTAATAACTACCTATTATAATACATATTAAAAATGTATTTTTATTATTTTAATTTATTCAGTTATTTAAATCTCAAACTAAAACAAATGGTTTCTAAAGTTAGTGCCTGCCATTATTCATACAATGTATCAAATTAGAAATGCCATGCAAGCTGAGTAAATTATTACTTTTACTAATTATGAATTTACATGTTTACTTTTATCTAAAAAGATATGTTTCTATGCAATTAAACACACTTTTAATTAATATGGTGAACATGATACAATATTAGTAACTTAAATGTACACTGTGCAAAAAAAGGAGGGGACAGTTCTTTATCTCCTGCTCTACTGGACCGATTGACGAAATTCAACTTTCGATACATGAAAAAAAAAAAAAAAAAAACTTGAGTTTTTTAAGTCTCGAAAGCGTGACTTCGGATATATATTAGATTTTGAAATAGCATCATTCTAATATAGGTATTATGACACAAAATCGGACTTTTTCTGAAATGACATTCCAATTTTTTTTTCATATTTCATTTCTACGACTCAAATTATGCCACACTGCCAAGTTTTGTAAAAATTGCACGAGTAGTTTTTAAAAATTTAGCTCCTCAATGTTAATTGAATTTGATATATATTTGTTAATATCCCTTTTTTTTTATTAAACTTACTTGATTCTTCCTTTCATATTTCAAAATTTAGATTCATTCCAAATAAAATTTGTCAATTTTTTACGATTTATTTTTAAAATTTGTATTTTTAATTAATTTTCATAAATTTTTTGAAAAAACTTTGAATTATAACCTATAAAATTTTTACCATCATCTTAAAGTATTTCTAAGCATACCGGCAAAAAATTAAGAGTTTTTTAATTCAAAATTTCCTAAGATATACGTGAATTTTCATTTTGGCACGTTCTGAAATTTGACTTATTTATTATAAACGATAATAACGAAAATGTGGTGTACACATTTTGTTAAAATTATTTGAAAGTATGAACGATGACTATTTCTCGCTTGTGCCCAAAGAAAAAAGGTGAAGGAAAATAGGTTGCTATAAGTTAAGAAAGTTCGCCAAGTAAATTATTCTTGGTGCAAACTGAAAAAAAATCGCCAAGATAAATTTTTAAATTTCTCCATAAATTCCTCACGGAAAATTACAAAATTTAATATCTAGGCATAATCTGAGTTGTAGAATATAAATATGGAAAAAAATTGGTATGTTATTTCAGAAAAAGTCCGATTTTATGTCAAAATATGTATGTTAGAACAATAATATATATAAATCTAATATATATCCTAAATCGTGCTTTCGATATACGAAAAAAACAACATGAATTTCGTCAACTGCCCCAGTAGAACAGGAGATACAGAACTGCCTCCCTATTTGACACTGATTAAATGAAATCAAATTAATTGATTAAATGATGATATATAGGGTTCCTCAATGATTATTCATTCAAGGTTACTAATGTGGGAATTCACCAAATTTCAGGTGCAATATACATAACATTTATCACAAAACAGGTCACAGAGATAGTACAGAAAGATTAATTTTGAAAAATCTTGTAGTTATTTAATCTTTTAAACTTAAATTAAAATGTGGTTTATCTCATTTATCTGACAGCAACATCAGATCAAATTCCCAAATTTTATTGGGCGAGAAGCACAGAGTTACATTTTATGTTGGTTGATCATCCTTATACATATTATACGTGACAGTATGACTTTGCACAGCTCAGTCCCAATTTTGAAGAACTCTTACACCCCAGCCTTCTTGAGACTCAACAATATAGCAGCCAGCATCACTAACTACAATAATACTCAAAATGCAATAGGATACGTGGTACACTATCATTGTAATGATGGCAGATATGTTCAAAGATGCACAGAGTATTGCAGATCTGCTGGCTACTGTCAAACGCTGATAAAACAAACGGATACATATAAATGTCCAAAATAATCCAATAGACTCAGAAGGGCCAATCAGACTGGGTTTTATCTAAGCTAACAAAGTCAGTTCCATGTGTCGACTAGCTTCGCTATACCTGCAGCTCAGATTTTTCAACTCACTGCCCTATGTAAAAAAAATTGGTTTTGGAGATGGGTCGATTGTCAGATGTCTTTTAGCTCAGATAAACCCCAGTCTTAATGGCCCTAGAAAATCACACAGATCGTTCAACGGGGCAATTACATCCAATCATCTCGGCTGTGATCCAAACAAGTTCTCAGCAAATACTATCCAATACAAGCAACTGCCTAAAATACCTTCTTGATTTCTACATCATCTGTTGTGCTTACAAATGCAGCAAAATTTGTTTAAGTTTCAAAACAGTTATGTGCAGGCTAGCAACTGTTAAAGTTATATCAAGTGACACTCTGCAGAATGTAAAACAAACTGTCAAATACAAAATATTTGTCAACATCCTGAAAAATGTGGGCCTTTCCATCTAAAATAAAAAAAAATAAGCTAATTTTCTGCAGCTGTTGCCAACAGACAAAAAAAAATTGGGTGCTCACAAGAGCTATCATACATTTGGACAATAAGAAGGCACTGATGGAGAAAAATATATGCATGCATAATGACAAATTTCAAACTGAACATGTTGATAATTATTACATTTATCATACCTTTTTTAGAAATTCTTAATACAAACCAGTTCATATTATAAATTCCTATAAATTATTCACTAGGATATTATATCTCTTATTAATAATAACCAGTTTATTTGGTTATTATTAATAATTAATTGCATTGACAATAGCATATTGACAGATAGATAGCAGGAGCACTTATTATCAAACATTGTAGCTGGCCCTGGAAAAAAAATATTATGAACATTTCTCTAAATTTAGCCTATAAAATTACAGAATATTTCACATTTAATTCAAAATGCATAATAAACATTTTATTAACTAGTGCTTTTGCTCTACGAAAAACACATTAAGAAATTAATTTGTTATTTTCAAATTCACTATGTACCTACTGCTGGTATTCTTCCCATAAAATTAGAACGTATTTTTTAAATCCCATCACATTAATAGAATAAAATCAAATACCTCCATTTATCATTGCAATTGAAAATCAAACAAAACTTACTTTTTCTAAACAATAGACAATACTAGCTTATTTCTCATGGAAAAAAATATTTTGATTTATTCAACATTACTTTCTGTTAATAATTAAAAAATTAATATTAATGATTTAAAAAGCAATAAAACAGGTGAAATTTTCTTTATATTGTAGAGTTATTTTTATTAAAATACACACTGAAGAATTTCAAATTTTTATTTCTTTAATTTTAAGTTCTCAAACGGTTTTAATTCATTAAAATTCTTAGATAATAAAATCTTAAAGATATCAAAAATAAAATCTTTATGTAATTTCTCAATATTATAGGAACGATTAGAGAATTTCAGTTTTGCTCATCAGTACAAAGGAACCTGGCCACTTGCTGATAAATCTGGTAATGGTTGAAGAATTTATTTCAATAAACTAAATTTTTGCATTGCTTATATATCAATAGTTTTCATATTTAAATACACTATACTTTCAGAAGACGAAGATATTAAAATTACTGAAATGCTAATCAGAGAAATAGATGAACTGGAATCTGTTAACTCATTTGATTCAGGTACATAATTTCCTTAAATTTCATAACTAAATTTTAAATAAATATTTATTTATGTTAAATAATGTTCAGGTTAGAATTTTATTTGATTACCAAATAATTTCTTTAAGTATTAAAATAGAACTGAATGGTTATAAAAGAAATCATTCTGTTGGGAAGGGAGGAATCAGACTGATTAGATATTGAGCCTTGGAAATTGTAATTTTATAATATAAGCTAATTATAAAAATACACTGTCACAAAAAATACACTCATGTCCATAAATTCAGGATAATTCGGAGTCACACAGAAATCAAACTCTAAAATAAATATATCACCTGTAAAATCACTACACACATCTTCAAGAATCATATGCAAATTTCAGGAAGTATCCAGATGACACCGATGGTAAGTCACAATGACGAGAGTGTAAGAGTGATATATAAGGAATACAGGCAAAGAAGTAAAATTGTTCGCAGGTGCTTTATAAGCATTTTAGTGCAATAACCGAATAGTTATGACACAAAGGACGCATTTGGATGATTTTTTACATGGGTAGAATTATCAGCCGTCTGGAATGTGGGTGTACCCAACTGGTAGTATCAGACGAACTTGGAATTGCCCAGAGTGTCATCTCCAGGCTTTGGCAACGATTCCAAGATGATGGTAATGTGAGTAGACGTTACAGCACAGGTTGCCCCAGAGTTACAATGCCGAATGAGGACCGGTATTTGGCAGTTACTGAGAAAAGAAACAGGCGGAGCACAGCCTCAGACTTGTCTCGTCAGCTCTCTTCAGCCACTGGTACGACAATTTCAAGGCAGACCGTGTACAGACGCTTTGTGCAGATTGGTCTATATGCTCATAGACCTGTCAGATGCGTCCCACTTACCGCAACTCACTGTCGGCTGCGGTTAGTCTGGAGTAGAGAGCATGCATCGTGGATACCACAACAGCGGGCTTCTCTGATGTTTTCTGACAAGTCCAGGTTTAGCTTGCAGTCTTATTCTGGCCAGACTTTCATATGGAGAGCTCCAGGTACCTGTTACCACCAAGAAAACTTCATTGAACAACACCGTTACAGTGGTGCAGGAGTGCTCATTTGGGGTGGAATTATTCTGGGTTCCAGAACTGACCTGAATGTTCAAATTGGAACCATGACAGGCCAAATCTATCGAGACGTCATTCTGGAACAACATGTATGTTTGTTTCGGGGTGCCATGGGTGCACAATTTGTGTTTATGGATGACAACGCCCGTACTCACCGTGCAAACATCGTAAGCGAATGCCTTCAATCGGAGAATATCACCTGTATGAACTGGCAAGCATTCTCACCGGACTTGAATCCAGTAGAGCACGTATGGGATATACTTGGCCGACAAGTTGCAGCCCGTCAACCTCCTCCTACATGTCTACCAAAACTTCGGAGAGCATTGCGTTTTGAGTGATGTAATATCCCCCAAGATCAGATCGATAATTTGATACTCAGCATGCCTAGGCATTGTACGGACTGTATTGCATTGTCTGGGAGACATACATTGTATTAACAATCATACCAACCATGTAATATTGGTTTTTTGTAAATAGGTTCTTTTTGTAATTTGCTTCTGGGAGAAAAAAAATCGCTAATTTTTTTAATAATATCAAACATATAGCATCTTTTTTTGCTCTTTACCTTTTGTTTAATAAATAAGCTTTACAAATACAGTCAAAGGTCGTTAATCCAGACTCGTCGGGACTTCGGCAATTCCGGATTATCGATCATCAGTTTAAATCTGGTAAGATGGCATGCAGAAATTATAAAATTAAAAATATTAAACCGTAATTTATGAAATAAAGAACAATTATGATCTAAAGGGTATCAAAATTTACAAAACGAAAAAGTTTATCTTTGTTTACTTTATTAAACATTTCTTTCAATGTAAGTTGTTTAAGTTGCTTCGTTTTCTGTGATAATACTTTCTCTTTAATTCTATAAACAGACATAATTTCTTGTTCAGTTACAAAGTTCCGCTGTTCAAGTCACGTAATTGCTGTGCCGAGAATACCGACTTACTTGTCGATCAAAATGTTTCCGTTTTCAACAACCTCTGGGTCACTTTCTTCACTATCGGAAACGAATTATAATGACGAGTAACTTGATTTAAATCATATCAAAGACGGAGTACATCGAGATGAAATACTACACTTAGTAAGGAATTATAAGCCAAATAAAATCATCTGCCCTGAAGATAAGGATAGTGCTGACAGATCAACTTCCAATCCGCAGCGTGAAATTGATAAACATATTTCGGATTTCAAAACATACTTTCGCTTTGTAGATACAAATTACATATTAGTAAATATATATCGGAAATTCTATTTGACATAATCGAAAGTTCAAGCTTACTTTTATGAAATTGCTCTAACAGTCTGCAAAAAATAAAGACGGATCCAATTAGAAGATTAAGGAACAATGCAATCTGCAACATTAACTGAATTAGATAATTTTAGCTCAGCTTATACCTCCATTACACATTAAACGCGCATGCGCACAAACATATTAGCAGCCGTAAAGGTCTTGCGCTCTCTCGTAAACGCCTGTGTGCATGCGTGAACGTGACGCATGCGCAGAAAGTTTGAGGTCCGAATTAACGACTTTTGACTGTAACACAAATTTGTTTTGCTTCTAACTCTTCTTTTGCCTGATTTTGCATTATCCTTAATTTATGGACATGAGTGCATATGCACCCAGAAGAAATTGAGCTACAATCACGAAATTCGAGAGGAATGTAGTCTGGTAAGAGATATGCAAATGGTTTAAATGTTGAGGGTAAGCATGCTATGTGCATATGAGATGCCCACCTGGTAGAGTTTAAAAGCATGATTGCTCGTGCGGCAGAACTATTCAAATGGATCTGTCGACTGGGATGAATGGTATTGTGATGTAGAGATGCCTCTGGGACGCAACTGGTGGCAGTATGAACAGTTGCGAGACTTTGAGAAGAGGCATATAGCAGACGTCAGAGAAGCAGGTTGTTAGAACAGGCATATCAGCCATCACCTCAGTCACAGCGATATGGTAGTTGCTCAGTGTTGGTGACAATGGATCATGGAAGGGACAGTCTATCATCGCAGAGGGTCAGGGCATCTCAGGAACACAAGGATCGTGTAATCATAAGAGTGGCAACTTTCTCAACAACAACGTCACTAGCATCGATTTGACACCATTTACCACCTTTTAGGCATGCAGTGGTATCAAAGGAAACCATTCGGAGATGACTGGTCAACACTGGTATATGTTGCTGACATCCATTAAGATACTTACCACTGACTTCACATCATAGGCAGCGTCGATTGGATTTTTGCCAAACTTGGACAAGCTGGAGGCGGCTATTGCAGTGGTCTGATTCAGCATTTGTGTTCAAGTGGCATACAGTGATTACACAAGGTGTGACAGTGTGGGAAGTGATTGGTTGGGACACATGATCACCTTTAGTCATCCTTCAAGGCACTAAGATGGCTCATAGTTACATGAGCAACATTTTAACACTAGTTGTATTGCCTATGTTATCAAGCCCAAGACAATGCTCGTCCACATACTACACAATTCTCTCAACATCTTCAAAGATATGACGTACTCCTGTGGCCTGCCAGGTCACCAGACATCTCACCAACAAAGCACATTTGGGACATGCTTGGAAGGCCACTGCAGCTGTCCTGGAATATTGGTGAATTAACTGCCCAGTTGCAAAGATTATGACATAATCTTCTGCAGGGGGTGTCATGGGCGACCTTTTGATTTGATGCCATGTTGTGCTTCGGCTCATATAGCTGCCAGAGGTGGCTATACTACTTATTGACTTGTAACCTTTCCTATGCCATAACTTCTTAATAAAATTACCTTTTGTTCTGAATTTGTACTCATATGTTTATCACCTCATATACTACATACATGTTAAGTTTCATGATAATAGTTCATTTCCAAATACATATATATTTTTATGACAGTGTGTAATTATCAAGGCTGAAACATAAATATAATAGAATTTTTTAATATAGCAGATTATGAAAAGTATGATAAGTAACTTATATATATATATATATTTGCAACACTGTCTTAAATTTTATACTTTGTTGTACATGAAATGTAGTTAATAACTTTTTATTTCATAGATGAGAATGCAGTCACAGAAACTGAAAAAATGGGAAAGACAAATAATCAGAGAAATTACTCGACAAAAAATATACCATATGAAAAAGAAAGTGAATTCAAGAAACAAAAGGATTTAGAAAACATGCAGAGTGATTCTGAATATACATTTGACTCTGATTATGTGCCACCTGAAATTCATAATAATACAGCAAAATCTCAAAAAGTTCAAAAATTCATACACAACATTAAAAATCATAATGAGAATACACCTTCAATGGGTACGAAAATTAATCCAAAACCCTTAGGGAAAAACCTCAAGCTCAAAACTGGCAAAAATATGAATAAAAATATATACCATACGCCTAACAATACAGAAAAAAATAACACAAAAAGGAAAATTTTGAAGAATGCAGTCAATAGTACAGACAGTTTTGAGAATAAAAACATAAAAGAAATTAATTTTAAAACTATGAAGGGTGCGGATAAAGATTCAAAATTGAAACCAACATTTAAAGCAATCAAACATCTTTCAGATAGCAATGTTTTAACTACAGAAGAAAAGAAATATAAAACAAATATGACTACAATTACGGAAAATACAACACATTCAAAACAAAGCACTGGACACAGTAATGAGAATCCTATACAAAACCATAAAAAAGTGACTTATAAACAGAAAAAAGAGAAAAATAATTCAGTGGATACCAAAGCAAAATCAGTGTCTAATGAAGCACAGTTGAAATTAAAAGAGATTAAAAACACAGAGCAAGATATGGAAAATATCAGTAAGTTACCTGAGAATGTCATAAATGATAATGGGTGTAATGCAATTGTAGAAAACAAAACAGAAAATAATATATCAAAAAAATTGAAGCTTCATGAAAAATTACAGAAAAATTCAATACAACTTAAAATGAGCATCAAAGAAAACAGTGAAGAAAATTCACTAAGCAAACAAGAATGTATATCCACAGCTAAAAAAAATACTACAAAAGATCAGATAAAAAGTGAAGAAAATGTGAAACTATTACCTAAAATGACTAAAGAAAAAAGTACTAGAAATGGCTTAAAACACAAAAAAATACAAGAAATAAACAATTTCCAACAAAAAGTTGCATTAAAAAAGCACGATGAAAATTCAAGTTCTGGAATTAATAAAAATGAAAAAAACAAACAAAAGATATCAACAAATGATACACTTGGCAATACAGAAGACACTAAGAATGTAAGAGAAAATCACAAAACTGAAGAGCTGAAAAAAGAATCATTTACCAACACATCAAGTCTTAATGGAATGGTCGCAAATGGATTTAAACCACCACAACAAATGAAAAAAAATGAGACAAAAATTAAGCCACCCATCTTAAAAACAAAAAGATTTGGAATGACACAACAAAGTGTGGGTAGTGTAATAGAAAGCATAAAATCTACAGATGTTCTGAAAAAAGATTTGATTCAAGATTGTATTCGAGATCAGGAAACAGAAAATATAAATGAAGACATGCAGAAAAAATATAAAATAGATATTATTGATTTAGAAAAAACTGATGAAATAAGAGAAACTGAAAACTGTTTTTCTTTAAATCTTGATGAAAATAATGAGATACACATAGATGATGATTCAGATCCTTTTGAAGAATAACATACCTGGAACTAATCTACCAGTTAGATTTATATCACAAATGCACACACATATTTCGCTGTAATGTAAACCCTTCTAACAACTAACCCTCTTTTTTTTTTTTTTTAGATGCTTTTACATAATTTTGAACTTTTGTAATCTAGTTTCTATAGTTATGTAGAAAATATTAGCAAATTTTAGTCATCTATTTTGATGAAATTACTTTTTTGTAATAAACTACTGATAAAGTACTGATGTACTTTACATTGCATTTACGAGAATATACACTAATAAAAAATTTGAAGAGATGTACTTATTATATATGTATATGTATGTGTGTATATATATCATTATTCTAAGATATTCATTTTGAGACAAAGTTGGATTTTTCCTGAAATGACATGCTAATTTTTTCCCATATTTTGATTCTATTTTTTATGTCTAAATATTCAAATTTTGTAACATTTGGTGAAGAATTCACAGAGTAATTCGAGAATATAGTTTGACATAATTTAACTTTGCACCAAGAAAAATTTACTTGACCAACTTCTAAGTTTATAGTAACCTATTGTTCAAATTTTGTATAATGTAGCATGAATGGCCGTCAGAAAGTGAAGCTATGCTGAAAAAATAAGATTACAAGGACAAGTCTATTTAACATTGATATAAATGGCTACCTATCTAAATTGGCAAGAAACCACCAAACTTGGCAACATTTGATCCAGTCCCTGTATCGTAATTGATTTCTATATGTAACTGCAACCACATACAGCCCTGTAACTTTAATCTCATATGCCTTCCAATAATTTTGAGAAATGGAAGGTACTACAGATTTCTCAGTGGCCAGGGGAAAACTATAAGCACGGACAGAGTATCAGTTCAGTGTAGACTTCAGATTATTTATTGACAGATAACCATGTGAGCTACACTTTTTAGATGTGCTTTGCATTACATGTTAGTAGTCTAAAGCCGTAACTGCTGACTGTGATCTGTTATACAGTGAGGAGGTGTACAAGTACTGTGAAAAGTTCCAAAGCTGTAAAGTGTTTCTTTTGGGAAAATTAATTTTATCAAGCTATCATCAGTTCTGTGAGCATAAATCCACTACAAACCTGTATGCATGTGACCTGTATTTTACTTTCTCCTTCATTCAACCCAAGAGGATAAAACCACATGGCTTCTTCTTTCTCACAAAAATTTGTACTTTACATATTTTTCAATCAGTTATTTTTAAATACTTTTCTTTTTAAAACTGTGCACACACACGTATATATATACATAAATGCAAATTAACCCAATGTACTTTTAAAAAGTGGGTTGTCCAAATGTCGATCTACAACCTTCTTAGACTTTGGAAAGCTGTTCGAGAGCAATAGGATAAAATACTTCTTCCGATACTATAAAAGGCTTTATTTATTGTCCTGGAAATTATGGTGTATAAAAATAGTGAAGAATAAAGGTTATCAAATAGAATACTTAAAACATAAAAAATTTAGATAAAATATTTACAATTACAATGAAAATCATCTAAAAAATCATAAACGAAGAGATCAAACTGTACAAACCTGGTTCCGTCAATGAAAATAAAGTTCCTGTAAGGGGTTTATGATTATCGAAGAATTCTATTACAATGGCAAATTAAAAATAGAACTGTCATAAAATTAGAACAAAAAAAAAGCGTCTCGTTCTTTAACCCTCTGACTGCTCAATTTATATACCGAAATTGCTTCAAAAATTGCATATTTTTTTCATATTTTAAATCTATATATAGAGAAATAAAAAATGCATTTTTCCTTTCTAGAAAATATTTTTTATATAGATTTTTATTATGAGAAAATAAGTTGCCAGAGAAACCAATTTCAGATGTTACCACCAAAAAAAATTTTTTTTAAATAAATTTCAGTCAAATTACAGTTAATTTCTGTTTATTGCATATTATAAAAAAGTAAAATATACACAATTTAAGAAAATATAAAGCACTGAGGAAAAAATATCTTAGAAATGCAGTTTACTATGATAGAGTTCAAAACAGGGTTCAAGGCAAAGTCCAACTTCACAGTCTTTGCACCAGATTCAATAAATTTAATTAATAATCACTCTAATTATTAATCTAATCAATAAATCTAGTTAATAATTCAATAATTTAATTAAATAATCAAGATAATCGTTGAATGTTTTATAACAGCCATTTCTGTAAGAAAAAAGCGGCAAAAAGTGGAGTTTGAACAGTAATACAATGTGCCTTCAAATGCCACAATTTAGTGGACAATTAACGATATCTATTGGCCAAAGCATAACTAAACGTCTAATATGATATATAATTTATTTCAGTGGTTAAACGGGAAAAAAATGGGATGCACTCCTCAATAAAGGAAGAAAAACACATCCCCGCGGAAATCGCAAGATGAGCAGATTTTGCTACATTTGAGTTGCCAGTGGAAATCGCGGGATGAGCAGCCAGAGGGTTAAAAAAAGAGAAATGTTTTTCCAGACACTTACAGCAAGTTTTAAATTAAGATCTTGAATTAACATCTGTTATCATAGGTATAAATTATTGTAAAATTACCAGATATGTTAATTAATTATAAGCAAAGATAAGTGCAAGAACAGTTTTAATTTATTATAGGATACTTGTAAAAGGAATATTAAATTCAGAAACAACACTTTACCACTGCTACTACTAGTTCTCTTTTAAGCTTTTATCCTAAAATTTTTGTCCTTGAAGATACTGCCTTAACTAAAAGAGGTTATAAGGCTAAAGAGAAGCCTTTCATTTCTTTCATTTTTTCTGCATGCCTTCTAGGTGTAACGATAGCACACAAGGGGCATGTTCGGGAGGTCTGAGTTCAAGTTCTGGCAGGGACACTGCTAATTTTTCATGTCTCCTGCTTCAAAATAACCTAATGACTCTACAGCAGTACCCGAACTAAAATGTGGTGGAAAATAATTTATCCCCACCCGGATTTGGCGATTAGATCCCCCAGTCACCCTTTAGATGGGGGAGTATATAAAGTATTTTCTCCCTCTTTCCAGCATGTCTTAATGCTGTTGTGGTAGCACACTCAGCACATAATCGAGAGGTCCAGGTTCGATTCGCGTCGAGGGCACTGCACAATTTTCATGTCTAATACTTCAAAATAACCTAATGACTCTACAGGGTTATTAAAATAAAATATAACAATAACATGATTTGTAGAATAACTCAGAATGCACAAAATTTATATCATCTTAAGAATTATCTAATCATTGCCACATGTTCTATTCAAATACTATAATAAATCTAAAACAATGTATAAAAGAAATTAAGCAAACAACAACAACAAAAAAAGTTTTTCACAGATGATTCAGTATTTCTCATTCAATTAATTCAGTTTTCCCTTCATGACAGGCAAAAATACATAAAAACTCAAAATATCTATATTAAAAATTAGGAAGTAAATCTTAAAACACTTATTTCCTCCAATAAATTCTAGATTGGATTAAGCAGGAAAGAAGAAGCCGATAATAAAAGAAGGCGTTATCTTTGTTATGGTGAAGCTTACTTTCTCTAGATTGGCAACAAGTCTACTATTCTGCTGTTTCAAATATAAACAAACATTACCATCATTGCAAAAATAATTAGGCTGAGTGGCACTTAAACAACTTTTAAATTGTTAATAATACAAAACATGTTCCATGTAGATTTACTAAAGGCATAAAAACCTTAACCGGACAATAAGAACAACATAATTCAAACATTTTTAAAGCAAAAAGTGCACAATTTACAAGCATATGTGATTAAAGAAACTGAGATTACCGTGCTGAGTAACAGAGTGGATATATATACATGTAAGATAAAAAATACAAACTTCTAAATTTAACTCACTATAACCTCTTATATTTTTTATTTCATTTTTGAACTTCATCTATCTGTCCTAAAAATAGCGCTGTAAGTCTAAACTGAGTCATTCAAAATAATCATGCAATCTTATATATAACCGTTAATGTAGATGCCTCTTTCCCAATCACCAAATTGTAAACCAAAACTACTCCCTTCTTTCTATGAACTGATGCGACACATTTGCTTATGCTTTTCTCTTCGCCAGATGCTGTATTCATGTATGAGCTGCTATATTCGCTTCTATGGCAATAATATTAAAAATTGTAAGTGTTCCTTTTACAGGCACGGGTAGAAGGCCAAGTGAATTGCGGCCACAAAATGAGAATTTAAATAAAAAAGGAATTTAAACTGGCTCGACTGCTTCTTCTTCAAAATGGATGGATGTTCTAAGCATCAAGTATCTATGCAATTAGTATTTTTACGCATCTACATCTCAGTGTTCTTAATCCAGTGCCTCCAAAAGTGTTCTGTCATTACATTCTTCGGACAGTTCTAATTATGAAAAATTCTATACAAGTTTGTTAAGCTATGTTCACAGTGAATCATGGGAAAAGTCCTGTTTTGCCAAAAATTTTCATGCAAGTTTGTGCCACATCAGTTAATCAAATCTTTCACCTTGTGTCATCGAACCACAGTTTCATTATATATATATTATATATATATACTTTTGGTGTGGCCGATTGCAACCAAAATATGAGGTGCATATCTACATGCTACAGCAATCCTATATACAAAATTTCAATGTTTTGAGGCTACTCATTTTTGAGTTATGTGAGGTACGTAAGCACAGACGGCACGAAAATTTCTCTTCAGAATTCATTTTGAATCAGTTTCAGAATTTTTTGGGGGGGAAAGTCCTTTATTCAGTCCTTACGTACGGATGTCAGACAAAAATATCGTTAAATTGCATTCGATAGCGGTCAAAGTGAATATTTTCATTGAAATATGATACTTGAAGTTTTTCACGATTACAATACTTCCTTTTTACTTCATACAAAGAAGTAATAACATCCCCCCCATTTTGTAATACTGAAGCCTATGTATAAATTAGTCTTAGCCATACTGCCCATTTGTGGAGTAATAACTGAAATAAGTTTCTCCATTAGAGCTTTATTTTGCTCTATTAACTCAGTTACAAGCTGCTCCATGGTGAATCCTCCAAAAGAAAAATGATTATATAAGCTTTACCTTGAGTAGTCTTCGGGGAATTTCCCTATCCAAGTGTATTCTGATAGCATTAAAACATATTGCGAAGGCACTTTTATTATTTTTAAAAATCTGACATCAATCGTCGTTAGATGCATTTCCTTAATAGGTAATTCCTAAAGGACTTTTTCTCCATTATATGTTTTAAATACCAGACTTTTATTTTGAATTTTCTTTTTTGAAATTTGCCAGAAATTTTTTAAACTCATTACCGATACTGCACCCCTTGTATACAGTTCCATACCTACCGGTTTTCCTTCAATGTTCATTTGGACCATTATAAGTGGTTTCCCATTTTTCACCTCACTGGAATGTATGCTGTTTATAGGAGTTACTACAGTTAAGGTAGAATATAAAGGTCAAAATAAAAATTTAAACCTTTAGATTGTTAAAGAAAACCTTGATACAATATTTGGTCGAAATAAATTTGGATTGGTTCTCAATAAAGTCAATTTCTGTCTTGCAAAAGAGTAGTTTAAATAAATTATTGGAACAGTATAAATAGATTTTTGACATATAAAGAAATTTTTGACGGAAAAATAGACAGTATAAAGAGATTTTTGACGGAAAATTAGGAGAGATAATAAATTATGAAGTTCAACTTCAATTGATGCCAAATGTTTCACCAACATTTAGAGCTAGGCAAGTACCATTAGCATTAAAAGGCCGGATAGTTGAAGAAATTGATCCCTTGGAAAAAGAGGGTATAAGCGAAAAGAAAGAAACATCGAAATGGGCAATTCTGGTAGTACCAGTAGTTAAGCTCTATACGACAGTGTGCTGACTACTCAGTGACAGTAAACCCAAATATTGTTACGCATCAACATCCTTTGCTGACCATTGACGAAATATTTTCATGTTTGAGCGGGGGAAAGCCTTTTTCAAAAATCCATTTTAAACATGCTTATTTACAAATGAAAGTACAACCCGAGACTCAAAAATTGCTAACAATAAACCTACAAAAAGGATTATATAAGTGTAAGAGATCAATGTTCGGGCTAAATACAATGCCGGCAATCTGGCAACGTTTAGTAGATGGGCTATTCCAAGGAATGGAAGGGTGTAAAGTCTTCATGGATGATGAGCAAATAACAGAGTCTGATGATAAAGCACATTTAAATACTTTAAAAAATTTCTTTGAGAAATGCAAAACTCGTGGAAATTAAATTTAGAGAAAAGTAAATTCTTTCAGGATGAGAAACAATTTTTAGGTCATAAAATTGATGATAATGGTTTACATAAAACTGATGAAAATATATCAGCGATTGCAAAAGCTCCAAAACCCAGAAATGTTCAGAAAATTCAAAGTTATTTGGGATTGGTTAATTTTTATGGAAAATTTTGCCCTAAATTAGAGACAATCGCAAATCTCTTATACCATCTAACTAAAAAAAACTCTAAATGGGTTTGGACGAAGGACTGTCAGGAGGCTTTTCTAAACATTAAAAAAGAATTGTGTTCTCAAAACGTTTTGATGCATTATGATCCAAAATTATCCTTAACATTGGCAACTGATGCATCATCAGTGGAGTTAGGTGCGGTACTTTCTCACAAACTTCTTGATGGAACAGAAAGGCCAAGCATCGCAAGTGTGCAAAGTAATTGTAAACCAGAACTAAGACAGGAATGTCGTAATTGTAGATATACGTGCGTATGCGAATGATGATGTGTTTTGTATATAATAAAGTAGTATATAGTTTAATAGAGTGTCTTGTGAAATTATCTACTAAAGATATACGGCACATAAAATAAATAAATGAAAATAAAAGATAATAAATAAATAAAATTTTCAGATTTATCTTTGAACCATAACAGCTAACCACTTAACCAGAAAGCATTTGACTTAACAGTGATAAAATATCTAAACAGACGAATTTTTTAAACATAAAAAATCAGACTCGAATACTCCATTTATTATATTTACCTCTGAACACTTTCATTCGAGTGGGTAGTTGTCGCATGGCCAATTATCACAGTGCATTATTCTTTGGGCTTTTGTCTAGTGCACTTTTGTCTGGGAGATTTTTATCTGGGCACTGTTTTTGGCACTACACTAAGAGTCTACTTTTAGTCTGTTGCATTCCTTTTATCTCTTCCATTTCAGAATAAAATTGTCCTTTGAAAGGCAAGTTCTGTTTTGGGGAAGCAAAAATAATGCAAATCTGGAGAACATGGATGATGACTGAGTCACTACATACTTATTTCCGGGCGGGAGCAATTCTACAAAGTGGTTACTGACCAGTGGAAAGTTGCGTTTTTATGCAATATAACACATCTAAAAAAATAGTTTCTGAATGGTCAGTAATGTAAAATTGAAAACTGTCTGCTTAATTCTCAGAGTCAATAGTCTGTTACTTAGCCAGATGTTTAAAATTGCAGAACTGTTTTTATACCTCACTCTGTACGATAAACCTATTGTCACTTAATCTATAAATCTAAGGGATCATGTGTTTACTTAGATTTCAAGAACATAAATGAATACAATAGTAGCAAATGTAACTGAACATTCATTTGTATTACTGTTTAGATAGTTTACAAACTAACACATTAACAAAAATTAAAATTCTGAGAATAAGGAAGCTTCTCTTAGGTATCCTCTATAAAGGCACACTTTTCTATTAGACAGATAGCCCTGGGGGGAGGCTTTATCATATTCAAATAACCTAAGATAACATGATGAAATTTTGAAAAAGAAGACAGCAGCATAAATTTTGAAAAATTCATTTAATTTAGTTTAAAAATCAAACAATGCCTTAAAAAAAAGCAAAACTTAGAAATTCTAAAATATAGCAGATTTACATATTATTAATTTATGTATTTACTGTGAATATACAAGCATAAAAAGATATTCCAGTTTTTGACTTTAATTTGCATGTAATGCTTCAATCCAGATTTACATTCTGACATTCAATTTAAAGTATTAACTGAGACAGTTCTTTAAAATGTAACTTTTTGAGAAAGCAATAGCATTTTTCTATTTACTTTGTTTTAAACATGATATAAAGCTCTTAAAATAATTATAAAATAAAGCAAGTTTCATTCTCTTATCATTGCTTGATGTAATTTTAGTTCAGAAAATAAGATAATTTTATTGAGTTAGAATACTTTCATACAGTAAAATTTGGATTTTAAAATACTGCATCATTTTAACTCTCAACTGCTTTTTTTTAATTTTGTTATCAAACTTTCTTAGTTTTTGCAAATTTAAATTAAATGAAGTTAAAAGAAAATAGCATATGACAAAGATAAAAATTTGCTTTTACAAACACAATAAAAGAAAGAAAAAATATTAAAAATTTGATTAATATTCCTTATAAGTTAAAACTGCTTTCAATGGATTATTAATAAATATTTATTATGCATCATTAATAAAAATGCACATAACAAAATTACATATGAATAATTATCAGTAAAAATTTATTTGGAAATTTAAGGTTAAAAATCTGTTTAATTCATTAAATATTTAAACAACATATGTTAACCACACCTTACGTTATCACCACTTACAACAAATATGCCAAATTTCAAAATGAGCTAATTATAAATTCTCGTATATCTTCAGATTTTTTTAAATAAAAATCTCTAATTTTTTTAAGGTGTGCCTAGAAACATTACGACGATAGCAATGCCCTATTTATTTTTAACTCAATGCTCATATAAAAATACAATTCACAAACAAAATATTGTTGTTACACATGTTGAACTACATAGAAATCGCAATATCAAAGGAGATTTTTCAGGCAACTTTTTACTTTGTCCAAGAAAGCTCCCACTTCATTACAGTTTCAACTTAATTTAGCATTATTTTAGCACTATGTGTCATTTAACCTCTAAGAACACAACTATTTAAATTGTAAAAATGGCATTTATTTAGGTCATTTAAATACAAAGTTTTAGATTAATAGTTCAATATAAAATTATTATTCTGATTTGTCCTTAGTATGATCTTTATGATACAGGAAAACAAAACTGAAGATAAAAACACCAAACATCATTGAAAATGAACTCAAATAATATGGATATGCTGATGGAATGAAACGCTCATATTGTGTGTGTTCCAAGGGTCTGACGGAGACCTAAAAATCAAAATAAAAAATTCTAATAACTGAAGCAGTCTTTAAAACAAATAAAAATTGTCACTAACTTTTTATTTCAGAAAATGTAATGTTTACCTGTGTAGTCTCGAATAAATGTGTGTAGCCCATTCTGTTATAATCAACTTTGAATTTATACACACCATAAACATCAGGTAACTTAAATTCTGCCACATATTTTTTTCCTACAATTAAAATATAATTATGAAATGTAAAATATTATTTCATTAAGATTTATATTAATGAAATATTCTATACTAACAAAGAAAGTGCTATGGTTCAAATTTTAAGAAGATATTACAACTATAATGCTCAAAAGACTAAGAATACTTTTAGATGATGAAACACAATATGTAAATTCATTGGAAAAAGAGAATACAAGTAAATAATTACAACATCAATTTTAAGAATACAGAATGTATGGCCAGAAACACTTTTACAAATACACAAATTTTACAAAAAAATTACAAAACATTTTAGTACAGTTAACATTAGTGAAATATTTTACATTTAAGAAGAAGATAGTATGATTGAAAATTTAAGGAGATATTACAATATTAAACAGTTTTTATATTATCTTAGGTAATCAAATAGATTATCATTAAAATAACATTAATCCACTTTGATTAACAGTTCAGGCAGAAAATAATACAGTTAAGTAATAATAAAATTAGCTTTAAGATGCAAAATGTATAGCAAAAATTCTGATGGGGGTAAAGACTATATATAGACTCATTATATTTTGGGGAAAAAGTCCTAAAATCACAAATTTCAGATCCATGATTGTACTTAGGTACATATAAAAAATTTTCTTACGCATTGAATCATTTTGAATTATGCACTGAATGAAATTTACGTGAATATATTTTTATTCTAATATGTAGAATTAAAAAATTTGGGGAAAATGCTTAATTCAACAAAACTTGAATTCTTAAAAAATGTAGCACATTTTTAAGCAAACTCAGGGTCTCAATAATTCGTTTCTTGGTGATGAATTTAAATGGGTTCATTCATTTAGGTAAGTAAGATTATGGGAAAAAATTTGATGGTTTGTTTTATGAATAAAATTTTAGAAAAGTATTAAAAAAAAAAAAAAAAAAAAAAAAAAAAAAATTTCATTCTATAGATACAATTTTTTTCTGATTTTTGAACTTTTTGCATCATAACCATGTTGTACTGACCACTGTGCAGCTTCACGTTTCTTCTTACTTTGTCTTTTAAAGATTGTTTCTTGAGGTAGTTTTAAAAATTATTGTTTCAACTTTAAAGAATGAATGTATAATGCAATGTAATTTACAATTTATATATAAAGAATGAATCTTATAAATCTTCAGATTACTCCATTATGCATATTACTGTACATCTCCATTAATCTCTGAAATCTTCAGCACTTAAGTTCCAAAACATAAGTTCTTTAAAACACATAACTATATCCTCTTCCCCAATTTTGAATCATTTTACACTTTTGTCTTTAAAAGCTTTGATCCATCCATGGGTTTGCTCAAACTAATGATTCTTCAAACTCAGATCTCTAAAAAAATACTTTTGTTGCTAACAGACATAATTCTGAATAGAAATGCTTATGCGTAATACTATTGATATATAGACTATTAATCAGAAAAACATTGATAATGCTCAGTTAAAAGCTATTTAAAAGAAACTTCTTAGAAACTATCTTTTTTAAAAAAGGGGCATGTCTGTCTTAATTTACATTTTTTATCTTAATTTACAATTATCTAATACTTCAAACTGAAACATGTAATATTTTTTTTAATCAAAATTAAAAAATCAATTTTTTGGAAGTCAAAAAAGGTCTTGGTCCCCTTAAACATGTACAAGAAATTTTGCTACTAAGAATTTTAAGAAATTAAAATTTGGTCCTCAAACTTTCATTTCTGCTGAAATGAAAAATTACATTAGCATATCAACACAGCAAAGTATCTCACATGAAAGTATGGCTAGTTTTCTACAATTTATTCCTCTTCACTTAAACATTCTAAACAAATAAGGAAATTCTCCCTCCACCACCACCAATACCATCTTCATATTTTTAGGTTCTAGTTATGAATTTTATTCAGGATTTTCAAAACTTGAAAAATCAAATTGTATTATAAAAATTTATTGTTCTTTTGTAAGTATCTTACAAAAGAAAAGAAAAATTGAAAAGGATTTAGAGCAATAAAAAGTGAACATCCAGGCCTACTCACATAATAAGTGATCCTTCTCTATTATAAAACCCGCCCACACATTAAACAAATTCCGCTGGGAAGTGTTGGAACACCTGCCATGCAGTCTGAATTTGTCACTCATGACTTCCACATCTTGTGGCCCCTTAAAAATGCATTACAGGGAAAACCTTTCCATTTGGATGATGAAGTGTAAGGAAGCTGTGCAGGACTTCCTCAACAATCAAGCATTATCTTTCTACAGCAAAGACACAGACCTGCTGTCAAAATGATGGGACCTATGTTACAATGCCTATGGCAATTTCTTTTGGTTTCAAATACTATACTTTCTTTTTATTCGGCTTTTTATTCACTTTTCATTTAGGCAACCCTCATAAAAATTGTTTTTAATATCTCAAATGCACATATCTATTAAAAGTTACATATTATTAAAAATTTTATAGTATTTATCACAGTTTACGGTTGCTTCTGTTTCACAGCTCCTGGGATAGGAAATTTTGTTTTTAGAGAAAATATACACTATTATTAATCTTATAAATATACTTGATGAAAATCTGAAAGCATCTTTTAAAAAAAACCTGGAATGTAAAATATATTCAAATTTTATCATGCTAACAATCCTAAACATTTGCTTTAGTTATTTTTTTTTTTTTTTCTCTTTCTCCCTCTTTTTTTTTTTTTTTTTTTTTTTTTTTTTTTTTTTTTTTTTTTTTTTTTTTTTTTTTTTTTTTTTTCTTTCTTTATACAAGTATCGTAAAGTAATCAAAACTCCTCCATATTCTCAAAACTTACATGTAATCAAACATGAAAAGCTCTACTAAAAGTAATTCTTATGGAAGAAGGGAATAAAGTTGAACATTCTTATATACAAAAATTAGTTAATTTATGCTAAAGTGCATGAAAAGTATAAATTAAAGCAAAGGATATCCAATGAAATGCTGAATGTCCCACTATTTTCAGGCATTTATTAAATATAAAATGTTTACTCAAAACGTCTGAACACTTACATGCATTCATTTTCAGAATAATTTGATTTTTTTTTTTTTTTTTTTTTATTGGACATGTATTTAAAACCATCTTTCAAAATGATAAGGTTTTAAAAAAGATGACCAATAATATAAGCATACTTGCCAACTTATGACACTCAAAAGTCAGTAGATTTTTTTAAGAAATCTGGAGATTTTTCACAATGTTAAAAAGACTTTTTAAATGATAAAAATATAGTTTTTAATAATGAATTAACTTTAAATACATACTAATTCTTAAATGCAAGCAACACAAAAATACCTTACACATAAACATTTTTATTAATTGCATCAATTTTATTACTTGCATCATTTAAGGAAACAAACACACACACACACAAACAAACAAAAAACAAAAAAAAAAAAAAAAAAAAAGACACTTTAATCAGTTTTCATACAAATATTATGAAGAGTGGCAGATTTTGCTTTCATTAAGAAAAATTTCATAATTTTGTTCATAGCAATTGCAACATAGGCCTGCTTTCGCTAATAAAAGTTTTTCTAATGTGTCATCACTAATATTAGATCTAAATTTAGTCCTCGTTTTTGCAACAACACTGAAAATCATCTCGCACTCTGCATTACTATGGGGAACTGTCAAGATGGTCAACATAATTCTAGACAGTTCACTATATTTTAAAATTCCATCAGCACCTTTCAGTTTTCCAATTAAACCTCCACTAGATGTCAATCCTAGCTGATTTTATAACTTCATCCAAGTTTTCTAATTGTAAACTGCAAAATTGCGACTGTGGTAGCAACATCAATATCATCATCTTTTATGACTAAATGAAGTAACACAGGAAATCTGTTCAAAAAGTACCTTATAACAGAAAAAGATGCATTTGCTTGAGCAGAAACATTAGCAACTTTAGCATGCAAAATCACTTCATCGATGACTGGAAATTTATGTAGTATGTAATCACATACTCGACAGAAGTAACTTCTAACATGAAGATAAAACTTATTTTTGTCTTCAAGCCTACTATTACTTGGTGCATTATCAGCACCAAGTGTTAAGCAATTATCCAAAGGGACTGCATTTTCTTTTTTCCTTGTTTTAATAATTAGCTGTGCTATATTAAAGCCTGTCGAATGTCCTTCTAAAGTGGGGACAGAAAGTAAATTGCACTCAATTTCTGAAGACTCTGCATTAAAAAAAAAAAAGAAACAACAATTGGATACAGTTTTGAATCGGTATTATTGCTTCCATCCGTAGAGAGGCAGAACGGAGCTGTTTTAATGCAATCAATAACTGAAGATTTATTTTTCAAACTCATTTCTTTAACAATTGCACCTGTCCTTGCACTTGAGTATTTCTTGGCGATTTCACTATCGGGAAACATTTTTCTAAATAAAGCTGCAGCGTGATCCGTGTATTCAGTGGCAGGTTATGCTCCAGTAAAAAGGCAAGAACAGACATTCTGCATTAACAACTTTTTGGTCCTTTGTTTCCAAAGAAAAGTTCATTTCCCCCCCCCCCCCAAAAAAACAACTCATGTCGTCCTTGTGTTTTTGTGTACGTGCATGTTTGAGAACATCCACCCTTCCACCATGCGAAATCGAAAAATCATAACGACAGACGGTACACATCACAAATTTATTACATTTCCGTGAGGAAATAATGGAAGGAAAGTCAACTGTGTACGATTTTTGAAACGTACACGAGTATTTCACCTTTCTTGCAGATATAACAAAAGATGATTATTTCTAAAACTATTTCCCGAAGGCACGTGTACTCACACAACTCAGGACAAGATAAACGAAATAACTAAAGTACATCCAAATAACAGCCTTGAGCTTACTTTGTGCTCATTGGCTAATATATGCCAGATGACACGCAGTGGAGCTCGATGCCCATTGGAGAACGATGTTTCTGGATACATATGCTCTCACTCACAAAGCAGAAATTCTCATCTGATTCGCAAGGTTTTGTTTTAGATATAAGCTAGAGAAAATTCAATTGCTTTCAGATGTCCAAATTCACTTTTTTTGTTCATATAACGAAGTATTAAGCCAAGTTCCATAAAAATCGTGAGAAATTCTAAGAATATGAAAAAGTCGGGAGAAATATATTGTAAATCGGGTTGGCGGGAGAGCAGTCGAAAATCAGGAGAGTTGGCAACTCTGTATAAGTAAAATAAAGTCATTTGGCTAATATTTAATAATTGTTACATATGGCCTTCATTGGAAAAAATTAATCCAAACATAATATACTATTTAGTACCTATTATAAATAAAACTGAGAACCACAAGTGCCCCAAAACAAATATTGTATTATATATAGCGGAATTAATGACATTTATCAAAACAATTTTTAAAATGAACTTAATAAAATATCAAATTCTTCAACAATTAAAAAAAAAATGTATTACTAATGTAATTTCAGGGACAGCCTTTTTTTTACTACTGAGCCATTACAAAATTAAATTGACCTGAATAGTACTTTTTTTCTATTAGAAGAAACTATTAACCAAACTTTGTAAACATTTCTTCTCAGTAATAAAATCACACTGAATTTCATTAAAGAAATTTAATAGCATATATTTTATATGTAAATTAAGTCATTAGAATCTTTTTTTCCAGAATGGGCAGCTCTAAATTCACAATTAACTCTAAATTTAGAATGAAGTGTTCTAAATTCTAAATGAAATAAAATTAAAATTTTAGAAGATCATAAACAAATGTGGTGAAATGAGTGCATGAGTAATGAAAATATTGATACTTACATATTATCCCGTCAACCGTACAACTGTCACCAAGCAAAGAAACTGAGTGCCAGTTATGGATAAGTTGACCTAACAACACACTCATAACATCTGAGCTTTCATCTGATGTAATTCAATTGATTATCAAAACTACCTTTTATTTTTATGAACAGAGATGTGTCTGGTATATTTTTCCTTTGATTTTCTTTTTTTTTTCGGGGGGGGGGGGGGTAATAATTGAAATTTGGTATTTGCCTTCTACAGAATAGCAAGCAATGGCTTTTTTTCAAAATTATGTGATCATACCATAAACAAATACAACACGTATTAATGGGCACGATATGGGCAGCTGAATATGATCAGTGAAACAGTAATTAAATTGGAACAACTACATGCAGGAAGCTTGTACTCAAAACATTCTAATCGGAACTTTGGTAAAATTGAAGGCCCTAACAAAGCAGTAGAAATCAATGAAGGCTTTTTATGAAGCATGTTGAAAACTGATTGTTTATTGAATAAAGAGATGCCGGTTCCTTCAAAATTCAATTGGAATAATTGCCACAACTTCGAAGAGAATGATGCCAACTTTCATAGCTCATTGGTAGCCTGCTTTTATGTTCTATGGGATAATACATAAGTACCAGAATATTTTCCAATGGAAAATGTATGAAATAAATACATCAATGCAATAAAACATAAATGCAGCTTTCCATTTCAAAGTATTCCAAAAACTAACCTTTCTTTTCCAAAGATGTTCTAACAAATGGGTCAATCCTAACAAATTCCAGTTGCAAGTCAGTAGCATCGAATGGAACCCAGATGCCACCCTTTAATATTTCTACTTCTATAGAATAAACCTTAAAAATAATATTTAGAAATTATAATATAGATAATTAGAAATAAATTATTTAAAAAATAATATTTAGAAGCACTAATTTAAAAACAAGTAGCATATCTCTGGAATATGCATGTGGTTTATAAATACAGTCTATTCATTGCTACATATTTTCTTCTCCCACACACACAAAACTGTCCATTTATTTAGAAAACATATGGTAATGATGCACTATGTTATTCACTGCCTTTAAGAATATGAATAATTTGAAAAGTTGCTAGCAAAATGCTTCAAAATAACTTTACAATGAACTCTTTTGTTACTTACACACTTTTGTTATTTTAATAAGCCAAGCATTCATATTCTTTTTTTAATATTAGTTATCTTTAGTATTATTAGAAGTTTTAAACAAAACTAAATTTAGCCTCTTTTAGATTATCATACTAAATGGTACAACAGCCCTTAGTGAGCCATAGCCTGCAGTGCCCTAATATCTGCTTTCTTGACCATGGGGCCCAGCAGTGCTTGAGCATATACTCTGGACAAATGGTCAGCTAATCGCAGAACCCCTGGTGTTTAATTCCCAAGCGAATTTGGTACTCATTTTATTGACCTACTCAAGGGATCAAAGGCTGAATCAACCCAGGGACTGAACCACAGATCTGTGGTGCTACTGCACGATGCATTAGCCACGGATAATCATATTAAGTTCATAAATACAGTGGTTGAATGATTATTCAAGGTAAGTCTAATTAAAAATCATTTAATTCTAAAAGTTTTTCTTAAGCTATGAATTTATCTTGGCAAATACTTTAGAAAAACAGCATCAGTTATAAATCTCAATTACAGTTCTGAAGCCAACTAAAAAGCAGTAGACCACATATAACATCATTACCAACCATGCACTGAAATTTTACATGCATTCAAATGTCCAGATTAATAATTAGTTGAACAAAACTGAAAACTGCATTATCCATTTAGTAGAGAACAGATGAAAATGATAAAACTGCATACATCGTTACACATAACTTAATGCATTAAACATTTATAATTTCCATGTTTTTCAAAAGATAAATGCAATTAAACAGTTTTCATATTGATATAAAAGTTCCAACAGATACAGGATGATATAGAAGACTGTGTTCCTCTTTAAATGAACATTACGGAGTAACTCTAACACCAAACCTTATTACTATTAATGACTAATAACATTTATTTGACATTTATTTCAGATACCACTGAATCTTGGTTGATGGAATATTGCATGTTCACACACAATGTCTCTTATACAAATGGCAACTCTATGGCTGCAGCTCAGAGGTTGTTCCTGTGGCACCTGAACGTAGGATAGAATGGAAAAGCTCCATCCAAGACACAAAACTATAATGGGTTAAACAGTTCAGAACCACAAGGCTCTGTAATTCTAAAAACATTACCAGATGCTGAACGTATAATGAAAATTCCAGAGCACGTGAGGATGGCAGCAGTGTTTCTCTGTAGTCCCTGACATACAGTTTGGTACCATTCATTAGCATAGCTTTGGGGGCAGAATCTAATTAAGGGAATTTTAAGAACTGATCTTAAAATTCACCAGTATAAGACTGTCTGTTTGAATGCATGTATGTGGAGTAGCTTCACCTGTTGATTTGAAACCAGCATTGTGGAAAACGTCATTACCTTCCAAATGCCATTTTTCCTACATAACACAAATGGCATTCCTTTCCATAAATATTTAAATCTAAGTCTTAAAGTTCGATATTAAATCAACATCACTCTATAAATATACAGTAAACTTAAACACTCATGAAAAAGTGACTTAGAGCACAGTGAAGAATTAGGATGAATAGCCGCATGAAATTTGCAGGACTTGTAAAGGCATCAGGAAATATGCAGATGATCAAATTGTTTACTGAGCATCTAGATGATTCACACGGCCAGTGATCACTCCTCTGTGTGGCCAAGCAAATAATATTTAGAAGCACTAGTTTAAAAACAAGTAGCATATCTCCGGAATATGCATGTGGTTTATAAATACAGTCTATTCATTGCTACATATTTTCTTCTCCCACACACACACACACACACAAAACTGTGCATTTATTTAGAAAACATATGGTAATGATGCACTATGTTAATCAATGAGGCAATATATGATCATTAATTTTACCAGGGATATCTGTTGGCAAACACATGCATCATGGCACAGGTCTTTCTGTATCAGCAGTATTGGAATGCATCTCAAACCAAAAAGGTCTATAAGTCAAGCAGAGGTTCTAAGGCAGATAAAGATATTAATCCTGTATAGACTGATTATATGGTCTCTATTCATTTGCGAACATACCAAATGTATTATGCATCGCAGGCAAGACCATAATATTCCAAATTATGTACTTATATGTTCTCAGATGATTGATAATCTGCACAAGGGGAATCTAGTGATAAACAAAGCTTCTCATTGAGAGACTCTAACAAAAAGGAAACTATCAATTAAGGCTTTTTAAGCAGTTATGGTCTAAATAAAAGGAACAATATTTACTGCAACTGAGGAATGCTCATTAATTTTTAAATCCTCCTTCTGTGCACAATTTTATAAAAGTAGACACTGTTCTTGTAAAGGGATCAACAAAAAGCAAACTACTTTGGGGACGCAAGTATCAAGGAAGGCTTGATAACAGGCAAAGATGGACAGGTGAGAGCCTCAACTGTTCATACACTCAAAAGGACAATTTAGAAGATCTATTCAAATTTCATACCCTTTTGAAATCTGAACTTTAAGACATATTCAAATGAACTATTGTTCATTTATTCCATTCTTTATAGATTGATTGATTTATTAAGGATTGATGTAACATTTTGTGTGTTTGTTATGGTCAATAATGGCAGATAGTTTATTGTTTCATTTCATTAATGTCAGTTGTATCGTTTTTATCAAATTTATTTGGTAAATTTCAGTTATACTTATGCTTACTATGCTGAGGTTTATGTTACTGTAGGATGGGAAGATCTGTGGGAAAACGTTCTAGAGGGTGCTTTGCTGCCCATATATAATCAAAATAAAAAGTTTCAGTTCTGAGAGAGTGAAGAGATGTGGTTACAGAAAGGTGGGGTAAAAGAGAGTTAAATGAGATATAATGTAACCCCAACAATTATGTAAATATATTGTATAAAGTACTAGAAGTAAATTAAGTGAAATGTTTATCTGAATTCAACATGACATCAAAAACCACCTACATAAGACAGCCAGCAAATTACTCTCAGATGTCAGCCAATGCAGCCCCACACAGGGTTCATACACATTTCTGCACACGGAAATTAAGTACTTTTAAGGACCATTAATGAAAAAAATTAAGGATCTATGAGCAAACGGGAACTCAATAAATTCAATTAAAAATATTATTCTATGCCTGAATTTCACTTTTGCAATACCATCCTAAAAATAAAATAGATCCCTAAGTAGTATACATTATTACTAAACATGAATCAACATAATTATTAATAAAATAGAGAATAAATAAACTTTATGAAATATATTAAGTAATATTAAATATTTTACACTAATAATAGTTGGATATATTTGAAAGACAATAAGTGACATTTACGTTTTACTAATAGTTAGCTATATGCTGATTTTTTTACATCTCATTTTGTCACATACTTGGTCAGTCTAGAGGTTTAATAAATAGCAGGTAGATTTTATGTCAAGCGGCATAGGTTAAGATGAGAAGCAAGATCATAATCAGCATCATTCATAACAAAAGACTGAATGTTGTCACTCCTGCTGCTTGTCTAGACAGAGACCTGCTGATTAGAACAAACCTGAAAGGCCTGATATATGCACAGTTGCCAAATGTTGAAAGTTAGTCAGGCTCTGTTTGATGCAGTTAGTGTCATAGCTTGTGTAGAGTTCCAGGGGTTGTAACCAATAATATACTTTAAGGTTCCAATAAGCATTAAAGCACCAGAGGTGATAAGTGTTTTGTTATTTGAGCTCACTTGATGCAAAGAATAAGTTTATTTGAATTTTTACATTTTTGTGTTTTATCTTGTGATCACAGTGAGTATCAATCGCTTTAATACATAGAGATAATTTTTAAGGGTAAGCAGTTAGTTATAAATAATTAAATTAGGTAATTAAATAATCTTAGTCATTATGGATTTATATGGCCACTATTAAATTTTATTTTTTAACAAAATTTGTTAAAAAGCCCTATTAAAATCAAAATCTAATAAAATTTCACAGTTTAAAATACATGTAATTTATGACATTGATTCTTAAAAGATATTAGGATAATTACACATTAAAAGCTAGAAACATTTTGGCTAGTTTTTATATCGATTTAAGCATCTTTTCTAACAAATAGAGATTTGTCTCAATATGGAAACCAATGCCCTCGCTAGTTTATGCGTGCTTTATCTCCTAACTTGACAACCTCTTCACAATGTACCTATGAGGGTTTACTTGATCTGGTAAAAGTTAAATAGTCCCAAACCCCGAACAGACGTTAAGCAAATTATTGCTATGTACCAATTGTGTAACAGCAAAAAGCCAGAAATATTTTGGGAATAAAAATGTAAAATTAATTTTATAGAGAAAACTGATCCATATTCTGAGAACTTTGAAAATTCTGACACAATTACATGAGAAAAAATCTTACTATGAAAAAATTAAAAAGACATTTTTAATTAATTACATAGCAAATTTTGCTTTTGCTAAGAGCTGTTTTGTAAATTATGCTCTACAGCATTATACCTTGTTTATTTTTCATATTCAGAACATTGTATAATAAGTTGTCAAAATGAAACTTTATAATATGACAGCAAAAAAAATAAAAATGTTTTATTTTAATGTAATTTTTAAAAATAAAATCCATTATTTTAATGAAATTTATCAATGTTATGATCTTTTAAATAAAATCGTTGGAAAATTCTCACATCTCGGAATTAAAAATTTTCTATAGAAACTGACCTTAAAATTGCCAAATTTAGAACCGTTTAATAAAACAATTCACAGACCCAAAGCGAAAAGTTGTTTAAGAGCTCTTTATTAGAAAAATTTAATTTTGAAATACTTATGTTTCACTCTTGCTTAGAAACTCGAGTATGCCATCATTTATATTATAAATAGAAACAAAATATAACCCATTCAAAAGATAACCATATATGTCAGTGAATCGCCAAAAATATTCCTCCAAAATGCCAATTCACACTCAAAATGGCAGTTGTAAAAGCAAACAGAAATTTCAGATGATTAAAATTAAAGATCTTCTGCTGAGTTTGACAAAAATTAAGGACTTTTTAAGAACCAAAAATTGATTCTAAAAAAATTAAGGACTTTTAAGGGCTCTTAAGGACCATACGAACCCTGCCACACCATGCCATAATGCAACATCAAGAACCACCTACATAAAAGAGTCAACAAATTACTCTCAGATGTCACCAAATGCAGCCCCACACCATGTCATAATGCCATGCAACTTTCTTCCAATCCCTAAAAGTGAAATGCACTTTAGAATATATTATCTGAACTATGAATTATTCCAAAATTATAATGTGTTTTCAAATTACTAAATTAAGTAGGAATATTATTGATTGCTGTTAATAACTCAAAGCAGATAATTGAAATACATTTATTATACATATTTTAGTGTTCGATTACATTTACTGCATTTTCTTAAAACAAAAGTCTCTTTCTTGGTTGATGGGATTGAAATTAAGAGGTTTATCTCAAAATCAGTGGTATCTTAAAATCAAAGAAGTATGATATTAAGAATTAAGGAACTATTGAAAGCACCTAATAAGTGTCAAACAACAGATTTAAAATTATTTTACATTCCAAAATACATTTACTTCTTCCCAAAATAAGTACTAGCAAACTGTTATTAATGCCACAGTACATTTTAAAAGCAAAGAAAAACCTACCACTTCATCCATTATTGTATAAGCTTCTGGAGCTGATGTTTCTCCTTTTCTGTGATGGGTAATATTACCTGCCCTTAAAACACCAGTTTCTTTAAAAACCCACTGAGTCAAAGCTTTAGCTAGAGGCTCATTTCCTGATTTCTCATACCTTTGAGAAGAGAAAACATATATTCCATTGGACTATGAAATACTTAAAATAATTTTCTACTTTATTCAAATTTTTAATAGCTCAGTTTTATATACATACTCCTATAGTAATAAATTGTAATACAAAAGACTGTAACATAAATTTGCATGCATTTTGAACTAAACTGATTTACTCATGATGAATAAAACTGATATACATGTATATGTATACCAAGTTTACTTTTGCATGTCTATGTAAAAACAAAACTGATTAGTAGTTCGATCATGATAGCTGTTTAAACAACTTCAAGATTCTTTACAAACAGATCATTTATAATAGATGGCAGCTTTATTTTTAAAACTGGAAAAAGAGAACTACAAATACAATTATTATTAAAATGTTTTATTTAAGAAACTGCATTTTTAAGCTTATGATACACACTTATTAAAACAAACTATCACTAGTTTAGAAATTTAGCAATTTGCATGCTAATGAAGAGAAATCCAAAATTTGCCAACAAAATAACTAATGGTTGCTAACTTTGGCATATTACACAAATTAATCACTATTGCCACCATATGACATCTTAACAAACATTTTAAACTTTAGTTTTAAAAACGGAGCTTTTTTCCACAGTTTGTAGTTCGATCATGGATCTATAGAACCTGTCAAACAATGAAGATGTTACGAGAGTTTACTATATTCCCAAATAACCATCAATGTTCCAGTTTGCATGAAAAGTTTTATTCAAATCAATTATCAATGGTGATGTTTTAAAGACACAAAATCAGGGGATACACTAGTCAATAACTGGTTTGCAGCAAGCGGACTGCCATTAGATTAACCAACTGCCAGTCCAAGAAAATGACATCTATAAAATTTTGCATAGAACTCAACATGACTGACACTATCTTTATACATTGGAACAATTATCTGAAACAATATGCATCTACGAGATGCAGAATCACAAAAATTTAAAAAAAAAAAAAGTGGTAAAAACTTAATCATAAAAGATTGATAAAAGGCAGTTCTCGGAAAAAAAAAATAATGTTGGCTGCATTCTGCGTGAATTTTCGCCAGTATTTGTCGAGAAACTAACAACACATTTCTTGTTACAGTGCCCAACCAAAATATCACAACAATGTTAAATGCAATCAAAGGTAATATTAAAAAAGGAATGCCTATTTCTTCGGAATCCTGGGCCATCTATGAAACATAAGAAAAATGGTCTCAAAAACCTGGTTTTGAGCTTTTCAAAGTAAACCACAAATTTAATTATCCATCTGCATTGCGGAGTTCGTAAACAAACTATTAAGTGGGTATCTTCAGAATGGCAGAACAAGAAACAGTGAGGTACTGCAAGACACCATTTGAAGTCATACTTAGTGGACTTTGGGTCGCAATAAAAAATTATAGCTCAGAGTTAAAAAACTCTTCAAAGCTATGTTACCTTACTGAGTGGCACAGCTTTTCAGATCTGCTCATTAAGACTTGCACTTAAACAGCATTTATTGACTAAAACTAAATTTTTATAATTACTTATTTCAGTCTGTTTTCATTCAATTCCATTTATTAAGATGATATTTACATCATTAAAGAAAATAAGAAAGCAAAATATTTTAAATTATACGCTAACATATACCAAGATAAAAAAAATCTCATTACTGGAAAAGGCAGTCTTGACACTCAGGGAATAAAAGTGACTGCCAACCATTTTCCACCCAAAGTAAAGAAAAACTAACTGTATCAAATTACCATAATCTGTTAATTTAGATAAAATCAGTTGCATTTGTACCCATAGTAAATACTTACATAAGAAATCAGAAACAAAACAAAATCTTACTTCTTTCCATCATGTACTTTTTGAACACTAGATTGAAAGAAATGATCACTAAAAAAGTCAAGTGAGCCTGAAAATACCACTCTGGCATTATTCCGGGCTTGTAGTGCAGATAAAAGCAATGTATTTTTCCCAACAGCATGAGGATACTAAAAAAGGGAAAAGCAATTAGTCCCAAAGAATTTATATAAAACAGTACACATAGGTAAGGAAATAGGACATACCATTAAGATTTCTAATGCAGAATAAACTTCTTTTAGAGCCATAGACCTCCAGTTTTTTTGGGGGGGAAGTATTTCCTTAATGGTGGATATTGCAAGTTTGGTTTCACTCTTTTGCTGGCAATAATTCTCTCAACAATGCCATGCACTACCTCATGACCATATTTCTCATCTACTCTGCTATTATTATTATTGTAATAGATTCCACAACTTGGGATTTGCCAATAGATGAAAATGCAACTATCTGTTTCTTCAAAAAAGAAATTTTTTTCATAAAGAAAATTTTGAAAGGTTATTCCAATAAAATAGTCTGTGTTCTTCCAGTGTACAAATAAGTTTCCACCACTTGAAAAACAAATGGCACCACCAGTAAGTTATGGATAAAAGTGTTTGCTGTAATAAAATGTTATATCACAAGGTTGGGGATCTGCTAACATAACCTTGAAATATTAGCAATTCTGTATCAGCCTCATATATGTGTGTGTGTGTGTGTGTGTGTGTGCAAAAAGTTCGAGTTTTTAACTGAATAAGCATCATTTGCAGAAACTTTTGATTTACTTATTACTCATTTGACAAAATCTGCAGTTGAGGTGCATCAGTTGCTTACAAGAAGCATATGGTGAGTCTGCCCTTAGTGAGAGATATTGTTGTGAGTGATTTCAAAACTTTCAGAATGGTGAATTTGATATTGAAGACAGAGAATGTAGCAGATGGCTGAAAGTATATGAAGACATGAAATTGGAAACATTATTGGATGAAGATTTATATCAAAGTTAAGTAGACTTGCACTTACATTACGAGTGACTCAACAAACAATTTCACATCCTTTAAAATCATTGGGAATGATTCAGAAGCAAGGAAATTGGGTTCCATATGAACTGAAGCTGAGAAATGTTGAACGCCGATTTTTTACATGTGAAATACTGCCTGCCAGGCATAAAAAAAAAAGGTTTTTTTTTTTTTTTTTTCTTTTTTCCATCGTATAGTTACTAGTGATGAAAAATGGATCTGTATGATAACCCAAAGAAGAAATCATGAGAATCACCTGGCTATGCTTCAACATCAACAGCCAAGCCGAATATTCATACAAGAAAATCATATGTATATGGCGGAATCAATTTGGTGTCATGTAGTACGAGCTGCTCAAACTGAACGAAACCTTTACTGTGGCTCTCTACCAAACACAACTGATGAGACTGCGTTGAGCACACAAGAAGGAAAAAAAAAAAAAAAATGAGCCCATTACTACCCCAGCCATGACAAAATCATTCTCCTCCATGATAAATGCTTGTCCACATGTTGCAGCACCAGTCAAAACCTACTTGGAAATACATACTCAAATAGGAAGTTAGCCTGCCCCTGCTGTATTGACCATACATTGCTCCTTCTGATTACTACTTGTTTCAATTGATGATACAGATATGTCTGAGCAACGCTTCATGTCATATGAAGATAACAAAAAATTGGGTTGATTCACAGATAGGCTCAAAAGATGAAGCGTTCTACCAACTCGTTATCCATATGCTGTCAGAAAGATGGGAAAAAGTAGTGACTAGCAATGGATACTTTGAATAAAACATAATGTACCATTCTTTTAGAACAAATGCTTAATTTTTGATAAAAAAAAGGCTAAGATTTATTTGTACTCCAATTAATATATTTTATATTAGTCCTAATGAACATTTTATAACTTTAATACAAGAAATAGAGAAAAGTACTCTAATCAAAATGAATAATATTAAAAAATGAATAAGTTAAAATCATTAGAGCATACTTTTATTCTCTCATAAAGAAAATAATATATTATAATATTGAAATATTGAAATAATATGAATATTGAAAATAATATATTGAAAATAATATGCAGAATATATATAGATAATATGCGCCTTCCCCCGAGATTTTTCTTCAAAGCCGGAAACAGATGGAAGTCACTTGGTGCGAGATCAGGACTGTATGGCGGATGGTGTAGGCGCTCCCAACCAAGAGTTGCAATATGGTTTTGCATTGCCGTCACCGAATGTGGTCTGGCATTGTCATCCAACAGCAGAACGCCAGATGTGAGAAGGCCAGGCCGCTTTTTCCGAATCGCCTCTTTCAATTTCGACAGGGTGTCACAGTAGCGCGTAGCATTGATGGTTCCAACCTCCAAAAAGTCCAGCAACAAAACTCCTTGGGCGTCCCAGAAAACTGTGAGGAGCACTTTACCTGCAGAGGGAGTTGTCTTGAACTTCTTTCGGACAGATGATGACGGATGTTTCCACTCCATAGATGCGGCTTTCGATTCTGGTGTGAAATAGTGGACCCACATTTCATCCCCCTTCACAATCCGAAACAGAAAGTCATTGCCATCTTCATGGTAACGCACGAGATGTTCCAGGCTGACCCCCATGCGTTGTTCCTTGTGTGTCAAGGTCAATTGTCGGGGCACCCATCGTGCGGATACTTTTCTGTATCGAAGAATGTCGTGGATGATGTTTTGAGCTCGCTCGTGTGAGATTCCAAGTTCTTCTGCTACTTCATTGATGGTGATATGCCGGTTTGCTCTAATCATGTCATCCACCTTCCTGACATTTGCATCTGTAGTGGCCGTGCACGTCCATCCAGCTCTCGGTATGTCCTCCACTTGCTGACGTCCATCACTGAATGTGCGACATCATCTCCGCACCATTTGCTTCGACATCACACCTGGCCCATAGATTTCCACGAGGCGGTTATGAATTTCTGTTCCTGATACTCCACGTGCCCATTCATAGCGGATAACCGCTCTCACTTCCTCCTTTGACCACGAATTCAAAACGCACCTTCTCTCCATACCTACCGGGGCTCAAATGAGAGGCTGGTCTCCGCTTTGCGCAGGCACTGCAACAGCACCATCTGCTTGATTTGCAGCGACCTCTACCAATGGTGTATGTATCGGTGACTTGCGTGTTTTCCTGCTGTGTCACCTTTCGCCCATAGCCGTTTCAACGCTTCTTCCATATGCAAAGCGTGAATTTTTCTTGGAGGACTTTTTGAAGCTTATCAAGCGATATGACAAATGTCTCAAACGTACTCGTATGAGAATAATAAAATAAAGGTATGTCATATCTTTAATGTCTCATTCTATTTTTTGACTTTCATACACAACTCTGACCACAGTCGACAGGGGAAACTTATTTTTCAACTTACCCTTGTATATAACTTTTTGCAGTCACGAGGTACTTAACAATATTTTCATTTTTCTTAATGGTAACAACCAAATGAGACAGTATACTTTGCAAAATGTTGATACTTCTTAATGTAAAAAAAGTCACTAAATTAAATATTGGTTATGAGCACACAATCCATAAAAATTTAATTTTATGCCAGAGCTTACCAGGTTTACCAGCTAGCAGTTATTGTCATACCAATCTCTCTGCAAACTCTGACCAAATGTTTTCAGTTATTGACATACCTGAATGATGCACCAACCAAGGCAAGAGTCAAACACCTTTCATACTCAGGAAAACTAGGACACTGCAAGCAACATGCAGTACTCTATTTTTCAGTGGAAAGGTCAGGCAACACAGAAGACAAAGCTATGACACAGCTAGGCCTCAGTTAAGTAATTATGGCTGTTCAAAGTTACCAATATACAAGCTAAGGGTGAAAAAGATATGCCCTATGGCTCACCATACCATCAATCCAACTGCTGGTATGATGATGATAAATGCAATTTATCTGCTCACTGTCTCTATGCATAAACACAGACATCATGATACTATAAACAAAAGGAATATTAATCAGAAAAAAATGATCTCATCACATTAATGTGTCTATTTGCATATCTGAATGGAACAACGTAGACACCGATTGCTGCTGCATAAATTGCCAATAGTGGCCATCTCGCTAACAATCTGTGATATTGCAGATATTGTCCTAACATGTGTGGATACGTGATATTGTGCAACACACCTTATTTCCTGATCCAGGGTATGTGAAGTGGCTGCACAATCCCTAATAGTAATATCAACAAAATGTCTGCCATCTTGGACACTGATGGTTTGGTTTATTAGATTACGGCAACGCACTCGAGGGCTATCTGCTTTAAGGAAGGGATGACTTCGTGGAGGACCTTTTTAAGGGAAACTGACTAGTATACAGATTACACATGGGGAAAACAACGAAAACACCCATGCAGCCAGCCCGTTCGCTGATTTGAACCTCGGACCGAGCTACCAGTGTTCAGCGATGTTACTGCTCGGCTGCTGGTGGGTTCCTTGGGCACTGATGAGCGATGGCCATTGAAATCCTGCATGTTAACCCATGTGTTATTACCAATTTACAACTGGAAGCCCTCTAAAATCTATCAGTTGCAAATTCCAATAACAGTCACTATGTCGTCTTACTATTTTTTGTTTTCTAACCAATTATGCTTATGATTTTCCTTATTTTGCATTGTGTGAGTGAATTTTTAAAGATACACAATCTGCGATTATCTGTTTAATCTTGTTTTTATCCTTTTAACTGTACTTTTGTTTGTCTGTGTCGGGTGTGCTGCGTTAACCATGAGGCCGATTATTATCGGTTAGGAGGGTTGCAGCATACTCGTTAACTAAACAGTCACTGGATCTCGATCAATGCAAGCAGCAGCTGCACAGCATGACGATCTGCAAGCCCAACAGACTACAATTCTCCCAAGACTGAATTCTGAGATGTGCTGGTATGAGTTCCCCCACCCCTTTTTTTTTTTTTTTTTTTTCTTTTTTAGATGAAACATAAACACAACCTCCAAAACAGAAAAAGGGAGGGGAAAAGACAAATGCAGGCAAGCATTCATTTTCCAAAATAATATTGCATATTGATAAATTCATGTTTAAATTTTTTCTTACCTCTGTTATTTTGTTTTCTGGATTGTAACAATAAGCTGTCGAAGATGCAGATAAAACTTCCAAAATTAATGGATTTTCTTGATCAGAAATTATACTACATAGGGAAAAATATATTAAAAATAGCACTTTCTATTAAAAAACAAAATACATAATGTTTAGAAGTATAAATGGGATAAATTATTACTGATACATTTAAAATATTTACAAATAAGTGACTGATATATTTTTATGCAGATTAAATGCTATCTATCATTCTGCACAGGACGTCAGAAATGAGGTTGATCTGTTTTTGGACTCATGGCCACCAAGTTTCTCGGCCGAAGGTTTTGAAAATCTACCAAAGCATTCGCAGAAAATCATAGATCGAGGTGGTGATTACTATCTGCACTAAAGGTACAGCTTTCATGTTTTTTTTTTTTTTCTAACTTAATTAAGAACGTTTTTTAGTGGAAACTTTTGGTATGACCAGCTATATAAATGAATAAATACAAATATTTCTCTCTCTCTCTCCCTTTTTTTAGCTCAAAGTGCATAACCCTATAAGGGCTATTAATTTCATTTTGGCATTTTATGTTGAAAACTTTAAACATTCATTTTACTTTTCGAATTGTTGCCACAAAATATCGCCCTGGGTTATACGAAAAGAAATTAAATAATGAAGAATCTGCATAAGTGTATGTGTGTTTCTCACATTATGATAAAATAACAGAACCTAGAGTCATCAAATTTTGAATAACATAATTATCCACTGAATATAGGCATCCAGAAGCCCGAATTTGGAATTTGTTTTATTATCTATTTCATATTTTGTTAGACATTAAAGAATTTTTGATTAACAAACTCAATGATCTCAAAGTGAGCAATGGGAAAATTGTATAGGGGAGGACATTTTATCTCCAAGGTGCGAGGCTGTGTATCAGAAATTCTAAAGATATGCTCTTTTAAATATTTTGTGGTGTTGCTGTTGAATTGAATTCTGTGGTTTAAGTGCACAGAAAATATTTAATAAGCAAAGGTAACACATAAAACGTTAAAAAACGCCCCTTTGGGTGTAATATAAAATCTGATTTTTTTTTTTTAATATAAAGTTTTTGCCACTATATTTTTGTATTTTTGGCACTACTTGCTTTGGCCTGTACATCTTGACTGATTACCAACCCCCAATGCTTTCACATCAAGCATTCAAAATTACACATATCTTGAAATTTTCATATTTTTACTGATAAGTTTTCAAAATTTGTTTTTTAAATACAGTCAAAAGTCTTTAATCCGGACTCGTCGGGACTTCAGCGATTCCGGATTATAGATCATCAGTTTAAATCTGGTAAGATGGCATGCAGAAATTATAAAATTAAAAATATGAAACCGTAATTTATGAAATAAAGAGCAATTATGATCTAAAGGGTGTCAAAATTTACAAAAAGAATCTCAATATTTATTTGTTTACTTTATTAAACATTTCTTTCAATGTGCGCATGCGTAAAGCATACATTACGCATAGTCGAAATTAGAAAATTCAACCGGAAAACTATTTGATGTGTATTCGTGATATTTATAATGACGAGTAATTTGATTTAAATCATATCAAAGACGGAGTACATCGAGATGAAATACTACATTTAGTAAGGAATTATAAGCCGATAAAATAAAAATATCTGCCCTGAAGATAAGGATAGTGCTGATAGATGAACTTCCAGTATATACATTATATACATTACACATGCAGAAAACCATAAAAAACGCCTATGCAGCCAGCCCGTTTGCGGGATTTGAACCTTGAACCGAACTACCAGTATTTTGAGACTTTACCACTTAGCCGCTTGTGGGCCTACTATTATTTGGAGTGAAAAAAGAAACAGTAAATAATTCAAGATAAAAATGCTAAGTATGCACTAAACACTTATTTGAAAAAGATATGATATAAACACATTCAAGAACACATGAAAAGGTTAAAATAAATTATACTTACCCAACACCTTTAAAAAGAAGAGGGGGTATATCATTTGAACCAATCACAGTCTTTGCATTTATTAAATTCTTAGGATCAGCAACTATCAGAGTGTGCTTTGGAATGGGGGGAGGAAAAAATTCCATCAGTCATTAATGCTTATGAACAAAAACAAACAAAAAAAAAAAAAATCAAAGTTTGTCTATTGGATTACTTTCTAGAAGCCCAAGAGGAAATTTATTTACATATATTTTGAAAAGAATTCAAGCTTACATCTTTAAGCATAAGGTAATCCAACAGAGAAGTAAATTTTTAAAAAATTCATATTCTAGCCTGTTTTTTAAGTTATCTTGCATAACTTATACAGAAATTAATGAAATTGTGAGTCCTTTTTATGAACATTTTTAAAATGCAAATTTCTTTGCTATGACTATGAGGTGGTTCTACATTAACACTGACATATTTCCAGCTATAAAAAGAAATTTCACGGACACAACAATTTATACACTTGCTGATATGCTATTATTATCTAACAAAACACTTTAGTAAGCCTTAAAAAGAAATAGCATTTCAATCAGATGTGATAAAGGGCCATTTGATTGATTGAAAATGGTAATCGAGAAATAGGAGTAATTGGTTCTTTGAATAATCTTCTCAAAGCAGGAAGCTGTTTTCTGCATTGTCAACACACATCTATTGTCAACACGCATAGATGCAAGCTTGCGTGAAGTTTCACATTAAACTAACATTCCGAATTGGATTGCCTGCAATAAAGGCTTAAAGAGAAGCATTTTACAAATATATTTTTTAAATTCTGAAAGACTAAGTTCAATGGTTTACTTATATAGTTACAAAATTAAACATATTTGTGAATTTAGATCCTAGTTTTACAAAGCATAAAATATTTATCTTATAGGCATTTCAAAAGACAGAAAAAAGTGATAACCACTTGTCACATGTCTTTTGGACAGATTAAGCTCAGATCATTCTCAGTAACTTAATAAGCACACACAGCTACGGAATATAATAGATGATGAAAAAAACCAGAAGTTTATATGAAAACTTGACTACAACAAAAATTAGGGTGTCACATGAACACATTTCACTTTTTTTAAAATCAGAACTATATATGTCTAAGAAAATCTGTAATTGTGGTTTTGAAACACTCAAAGTTCAAGTTCAATATTATGCACAAATATGTATTGAAAGACACTGAGCTAACACCTGAAAGAAAGCAAACACTGGATGTTGTGACATTCAAGCAAAATTCTTCTGCAGAGCAACTTAAAGTTCTGAAAAAAAAAAAAAAATCAAGTAATAAACCATTACTTCCTGTAAGAAGAAGGAACCACAAGCTAATAATAAGAACCACAGGCTTTTAGACTTGATTCCCTGTAACTTATGTTAAATGATTCTATCCTACAGCATGTATGAATGATATGCAATATTGTTTCATGCTTTCCATGATACTGCAGCTTGTCTTCATACAATGCTTGATAACTGTAGTTGCTACATAAAGTGGCTAATCTTTAGAATATGGTAACAGGTAGTTTGGCGACATTTTGGTAAGGCAATAAAGGTTACTAGCTAGGACTTTTAGCAATAATCTGAAAAGTACACAGTTCGAATCACAGATTATTTTGTCTCAGAGAAATGAGAGATCATGAGACATGTGACATTTTCTGGAAAATTCCGATCGTGATTTTAGCTAATAAGCACTTAGAAACAATTTTGCTGCTAAAGTGCAAAATCGCCCACTTATTTGTTTGGCGCTTTTTACAAGAGTAAGAAGAATTGGATTTTTGTCAATTTTTCTTTGACTTTTTCAGTAAAAATAGGTCAATGTGTACATAGATAAAGTCAACAATGTGCGAAATGCCATTTTTGTGCAATTCTGAGATTTTTTTCAAGTGAAAATAGGTTGACGTGTACATGGATATCATGTATGTGCAATTCTTAAAAACACAGCAAGCAGTTTGCGATTCTGCACTTTCTCTCAATTTCGCACCTAATCTTCATCATGATTAAGCATTTTTGTTCTATAAAAGTTCTAGTATAAGCGTAATTCGGCTAGCAGATTGTTGGAAAAAATGTTGAATAAAAAAAAAAACCATGCCTTTACTTCGTGAAAACAAAATGGCGTCCAAAACAAAACTAGCAGATTACTGTAGGAGGGTTGGCCGCCAAATTTTCACCAAGTTACCATAATGTAAAGATTCACCCACAAGGTTACTATTACAATGAGTAAATTTTTTATATGTATAATCACACACCCATCTAGTAAACATAACTGTCACCTAGTGGGCACAAACAACAATTATTATAAAGATGAACTTTATATTGCAAACTAAGCACCATTGAGTAAATATAATTATAACAAAAATATCTGTCAATTAAGATGTCAGCAATTTTATCCATTTTTGTGGTAACTACATTGTAATTTGGTTAAATATGAATTTCGACAAAAATATGACATTGAATTATATTTTATTTATGATGCAATGCATGAAAGTTATCTCTACACAAGCAAGTAGGCACCATTATGTATTTAAAAAGGGATCTACAAAATATTTAAAAATTCACTTTTTTCTTTTACTCTACTAATAATAAACAAACCAAAAAACTAAAACCTGCCCTCTTCAATTACAGCACTCTGTCATTTCTATTGTAAACTTCCTAGATTTTAAAGATAATTTAGTTTACATAATCATAACAATGTAAATGTGAAAAAGGGGCCAAGTTCGGAAGAAACGATGTACATTGTAGTCATTGTCACCAACAAAAGAGTTGAGATCTAACGGATTTTGGCAAGTTCCATAGCAGTTCCTTTAATCATAGCTGTAGGAACGTACAACGTTCTTCAGTTAAATTAAAAACAATTTATTACTCTTTTTAATATTGGATTTGTAGTATAGGTGTGTGTATATCACACACCCTATATTACTTTCCAAAAAAAATGCATAATCAAAATCTAATTTACTACAATATCATTTAAAAATGTTTCATGTTTAAAGACAGGAGGTAAATATAAACAATCACAGATATTTATGATTAGTGTTCTTATTATAATACTCATTACAGCAAACTACAAGAGAAAATCAAAAGCAATGAATTTTAAATTGTTAAACATTTAAATACCTACTTTGCCATCATCTTCAATATCATAATTTAAATGATCAATTACAGCTGAACCTTCTTCATCAATTTCAAAACCACATTCATTAGCCAGTTCTCTTATTAAATCCCCTGAAAAAGAAAAGAATAATTTCAGTCATATATACCACAATAAAATTTTCCATTAATTATTATGATAATTCTGATGGTCACTGTTACAAAAAGTACAATAGTAGTGAAAAAAACTTTAAAAAAAAGAATCATGCATGGGTTAATATTTAAAAATAAGATCCCTATAGTACATACAAAATAGTTTAAACTTTAGTTTCATAATGCAAACATTAAATTAAAAATTAAATAAGTTAATTATCTTCCTTACCAACATTAGAGCTTGCACCAACAAGGACATTGCCTCCAGCATCAATAAAATCTGTTATTGCTTGAACATTCAAGTTGCCTCCAAATTCTAAAGAATTTTTTAAAATTCTAAGAAAGTTCATTCAAACATATACAGGAGAGAGACAGGAATTTTATAACATTTCTGTAATACTAGAAGACAATACTTCAAAGCCAAAAATAAATTAATACACCAAAAACTTGATACATCAAAATATAAAAGAATATAAGAGAAACAAAAGAAATCAAAAAATAAAATGAAATGCTACATATCTTGCAACATCTCTTTAGAGGGTTAATACCACAAGATAACGCAACACGACAATTTCATACTGCCTAAAATTAAATTCCTGCAGTTTGGCATACAAAGTAGCTAGTTATTCACTAATATATCTTAATTCTTACATGGCTACAAATCAATCATGTCGTGCAAATCTGACTATATATATTGCAAAAATTAATTAAATATATCACACCATTAATTTATCAATTATTTTAATACCTATATATATATATAACAAAAAATACTAAAACAATGGATACTTGTAGGCAGAGCAGGATTTACGTATAAGCTACACAAGCTATCACTTAGGGACCCCACTTTCTTAGGGGCCCAAAAAAAACCCTCTAGGTATCTGAAAACCATATTTGGCAATGATATATAATATCTGGACTTGTAAAGGGCCCAATATCTCAAATAGCTTAGGGCCTTATCAAGTCTAAATCCGGCCCTGCTTGTAGGTTTATCGGAGACCACCAATTAGTTACCGATTTTAGCAATTATCTATCTCACAGATTCATGTTTTACTATTTTAATCATGGTTGAACACTCAAGATCTACACACCTAAATTCTAACCCCATTTTGATTGAAAGCAGCAATTATTTGCTGCTTTCAATACATCTTTCAATACATCTAAATACATCTTTTTATAGAACCTTGCCAACACAGCAAGCTCATATATGTGAAGCCATCTTATAAATAATGCTTTAAAAATGCAAGCTATGTTACATGTGAAGGAATCTTGTATATGGGTCAATATGATGAGAGACGGAGATGACATATGCTGCAGAATCTCCACCCCAAATAAACTGATTACTTTATTAAATCTTCCATAAGCAGAGAATTCTTTAGGCATTAAAGTAAATTTGATATAGTGCTTGCTATTATTTTTATTAAATTTCTTTATTTTCAAGGCATTATTACCAATGTATTTTAGAGAATAAAAACAAATAACAAACTGAAAAATATCTCCTTTGGACATTTAAAAAATTAGCATATTTTCATTTATTATATATTCGTTGAAAAATCATTTCAGTACCATATTTTCAAGGTTGATAAACATCATCTTGAAAAATAAAACAATTAAGCTTCAGCAGGAACACATTTTGACATACATATAAAATTCTGATATAATGCTTAGATGATAAAAGTTTTTTTGTTACATATTAGCCAGTCAACCAGAAAAGCTGGCTAACATCAAACGATTCAAGATCCTGCCAAAGTTGCACCAATCATTCCTGCAGAATTCTGAAGAAACTGAAGCCTCTTTATAAATTGAACTTTATAAAAAGACTTTCACTAATTTCCACTATTTTGTTAACTCCTCCAATATGATCAAAAGCTCTGTTTAGAATGATACGAGCACAAAATTTTTGCAGGTAACTGTTCCAATCTACTATTGCTTTTATGGCCATTTTCGGGCGACCATATCATTCATTAGTATACAATTTTTATGGCAGTAAGATCCCATTGTTGTTCTATAGAAGACAAAACTTGAATTTTAACTTTTTTTAATGCACGGAAAAATACAGCAATAAACAGCTAAGTTACACGCTTGTTCATAAAAACAAAAGTTGGCTTTATTGAGAATCGATTGAAAACTGTTACAAGAAATGGAAGAATAAATGTTATAAATGTGTTATTATGTTACACTTATCCATAACTGGTGCTAAATGGTACTGCTTGAAGACAGTTTTTTGTTAATGGGATAATATGCAAGCACTGTTTTTTATAAAGAAGCTTACGTTTCAGCTGTATTGTAAAAAATATGAAGAGGTTTAATTATTTAATATTATTTCAGAAGTCAATTTATAAATTTCCAAAATTCGGTGAAATGTCACCCAATACAAAACAAAGAATTAAACAAAAAAATACATGCAGTTAATATTTTAATTTTCTTACCCTCAACAGATGGTGAAAATATTATCAAGTGCTGAAACAAATATTCTCCATATTTTATCAAAGTCAAACCAGGATCATCTGCTGTTTTATAGGTTAGACGAAATCCTCGATCTGGAAGGTAAAACATTTCTTAATAACAAAAATTTAAGATACATTCCCATAAGTTTGCAACTAAACAAAGTTACATAATTATAAATTATGTAGATTTTCCATTATATTATTTGGATATAATCATTATGCTCAACAATGCACGAGTGGAAAAAATGTCACATCGTTTCTACTTTCAAATAATTTTAGCAAAATGTCTAAACCACATTTGATGTTTTATCGCTTTCAGCAAATATGCCAAATTTCAAAACGCGCAAATATATAAATTCATGTACATCTTCCAAAATTTTGAATAAAAAACTAATTTTTTGCAGGTATGCTTAGAAATACGTCTACTTTAAGATGACTGTAAAAATTTTATAGATTATAATTCAAATTTTTTTGGAAAAATTTATAAAAATTATTTAAAAATACATATTTTAAAAATAAATCAAAAAGTGGATGATTTTTTTTTTTTTTTTTTGAATGAACTTGAATTTCAAAATGTGAAAGGAAGAATCAAATAAGTTTAATAAAAAGAGATTACTAAATATATACCAAACTCGATTAAAATTGAGGAGCTAAAATTTTGAGAGCTAATTTGGCTGATCTTTAGAATATGGTAACTGGTAGTTTGGCAACATTTTGGAAGCGATAAAGGTCTGGGACTTTGGTAATAATGTGAGCAGTACTCAGTTCCGATTACGCATTATTTTGTGTGAGGGAAATGAGAGATCATGGGATATGTCATGTGATATTAATGGACGAATTACGGTTTTCTTTAATCGGAAAAGGGGGGAAATTGGGAAAAAAATCTGGGAAAAAAATCTGGAAATTTTGTATTTGGCTTTATTCTGTGTTGTGTGAAACAGTGTTTGTTAATTTTTGGATCCCATGGCCCTAACTAAAGTGAATTCGAAATGGGTATTTAGTGGGATTGAAAGGGGTAGTAATAAGTGTTTCTTTAAGGTTGTGCGAGATAGAAGTAAAGATGTTTTATTAAGTTATTTATTTTACCTGGTACCTTGGTATGAACTATAAGTATGATTTTAAAGATCCTGAAACAGAAATAAGAAAAGTTTATCGGACACGTAATCAAGATTCTGAAGAATAGGTAAGTTAGTATTTTTAATTATTTGAGGATATTATTTTTATGCATTGTTCTAAATATAAGGTGGAAGTAAAGTAATTTGCGTAAACGTGCATGGAAATAATTTAAATATTTGACACTAAGTATTTGTAACCATTTGTAATGTTTGCGGTATGAATGAATTAGTGACGTTTGTAATATAATAGATAATGTAGAGGTAAAGGTTTCCGGATATTTTATTTATTTTATACGGGAAAATGTTCATATTTGGAAAGGGTATATACTTTTTCGCGATCAGGTAATTTCATATATGTTCTTTTTACCAGGTTTTTAAAGATTCAGAAAATTGTTATGCATTTTCGTGAAATTTTTCTAATTTATGAGAAAAAAGCAGTGTATATGGATATAGTGATGAGTGCGCGCAATGCCATTTTTGTGCAATTCTGGAATGTTTTTTTAAGTAAAAATAAGTCGACGTGTACATGGTTTAGTGATATTTTAATTAAATGATAGTTATTTTGTGAATTTTATGTTTGTAGGAATTTGGTATACGTTTAAGTTGAAGTAAACGTGCATTTTGTGTGTGTGTGCAGTGTACATATGATCTTTATATTTATGAACGATAAAGCTTGTCCACATTGAGCAAACCTCATTAATGACTATCTTGAAAACGAAGACATTGATCAAACACCGTGGCCAGCAAGATCTCTTAATCTTAACCTGATAAAGAACTTACAGGACTACCCTAGAAAACCAACTGCATGGAGACATCCTCCTCCTAGAGATATAAATGCCCTGAAAACTGTATTAGGAGGAATGCAATTTAATTCTCTACAATTAAGATCACTACTGCCAGCATGCAGGCAAAGGGTATTAAATTCATAAACCTTAAATTCAAGTTATATTTTTTTCTCTTACTTTATCTTTGTAAAATATTACCATTTTGTTTCATGCTAGTTTCTCCTAATTTATCCTCGTAAAATATTACCATTTCATGCTAGTTTTATGTCATATGCAATGCCCTTACATTTTTCATTTGTATTTATGTTATGCTTCAATTGCCTTACAAGTTTATTTTATTTGAATTTTTTTCGTCGTTCATTTTTAAAAAAATTTTTCTATACCGCTGGTACAATGTATATAAATTAATAACAAACAAAGCTTATAATGGATTGGTAACGAGCACCACTAGCCTAGCGATAAGTTTGCTAAACAATGATACTTTGACTTGGGTTCAAATCTTGGTGAAAAGATTACATGAATGAGTGTTTGGGTTTTCTTCTGCAAAGAACCATTGGCCACAACACCTTCTTTCGTTGCCAAGATCACCAACAGTAATGGTTTTAGGGTCATATGGGCAAGTTTTAAAAGAATGATGTAAAACATTGGATATGAGTCAAATCTGACATTTTAAATATAATTTTCAGTGCATAATGTGGTATCAAGCATAAGTAAGTTACATTTAACTAAAAATTAGCTGATTAAAGATATTAAGCACAAATTTAAGCAAATTTAGCATGTTAAACATAATGAAGAAAAGCATGATGTTGAGCATATATAAGTAAAATTTAGCCTAAAAAGTAAAGTAAATGTTAGAATGGTTAGAGTTGAATTTAAGGTTCCCCTTGTATTATCGTGAAGTTGTTGTTTCATTTATCGCCAAGTTGTTTGTATCATTTATGGTAACCTGAGTAGTTGAATGTTACGGAAACCCTATTATGACGTAATCGTTTGCATTATTCTGGGAAATTTTGAATCATGGGAAGTTTTGCAAGGGCTTTTGTGGTGTGTGCCGTTTAGGAAGTTCACTGCTTGTTTCATTGTCTAGATGGTACAATGGCTGAATGTAGTAAGATTAATTTGAAGTTTCTGTATGATTTTGAATGAAAGGGGAAAAGTGCATTGACTGGTGTGTAAATGAAGGTTTACTTAGTAGCCATACTCCGAATCCACGTAATATATTTTTTACTCTTATTTTTGTGAATTTCTGTGGCGACGTCAATATACGGATTGTAGTTCAGATAATTTTAGGAAATTTTTTGATGCTGTTAAGGAATTTTGTGTGCTACAGACTGAAGACGAATGAATTTCTAAATAAGGTAAAGAGATATTTGCTTCGTGTAGTGCTAAAATACATAACAGATTTTTCCTTTCTTGTGTTATTGTTTGGTTTAAAATGTAGTTTGATATTATGTATTTTTTGTTTGCCTCTACTGTAGAATTGGATGCTCCTTTGACTTTTTATGTGAAAATATATCGATGTGTACATGAACAAACTCAAAGGAGTACGTAAAGCATTGTTTGTACAATTCTTTGATGCTTTTTTATGTGAAAATAGGTCGATGTGTTCATGGATAAAGTCAAGGAAGTACACAATGCCATTTTTGTGCAATTTGAGGATTTTTTTTAAGTGAAAAATGGGTCAATGTGTACATGGATACCAAGTTTGTGCAATTCTTTGACTTGTTATTTTGGCTTCAGTAGCGGTAATTTTTTCGCCACAAATTGCCGCTACGTAGGACAAAATGAGTCAAAGAATTGCACAAACTCTATCCATGTACCACCAAAAATAAGGGGTACCCTAAAATATACTTTTACCATCAGAATTATTATTGAAATATATCTCTAATTATTTTATAGATAATTATATTATTTTCTCTAATTATTTATATAAAAGAGCTTTAAAAAACTCATATACTTATATCCTTTAAAATTCCTGTAAATGGATACTGCCATTACGCTTAATTTCATGCAAAAATAGGTATTCAAGGGCTAGATTTTCCTTCGGAAGATCACTTTTTTTTTAAATTTTAGTGGGTGCCTATTCAGTTCTTTAAACTGGATATGCGCACCATTTGCAGGATTAACAAAAGCTGTGAACTGATTAACAATCCACATATTAAAATAATATCCATGCCTGCCTACAAATTGATGGATATACTGAGTATATCCATTATTTATCAATTATGTTATGATTATAATCATGGTGATCATAATATTATATCAATTATGTTATGGTCAGTGGAATTCAGTAATTCCTTAGTATATCCACCATTTATCAATCATAACAGTTATTCCTTTTGTCATGTGCTTCTTAATCAGTGACATGAGCATCTCCGCTGATCTGTCATTTCTTGTGAACATGTTTTAAATGAAGGCCATATTCTTTCCGAGATGCACGACTGCAGACAAGCATCCGTCTCCTTAAATGAACAACACTGTCTCCTTAATAACAAATTCCTTAATTTAATAAAAATAATACTACCTATTCATTGTTAAAAAATTCAGAAACAATAACTGTGTTGCTACAACATGCACAATTATAAACAGGTTAAGGAACCAAAAACAACATAAGAGGAATGGTTGCTCCCTCCAAACAAACAAATCCATTGGGTTACCAAGTCTGAACTATTATCGCCACTGTTGTCAGCATTTACACTTACCGGGTTCTTTACGGAAGTGCTTCCGAGTGTTTTTATTGTTCCCCTCATGTATAGCGTGAATATGAATTAACTTCGCTTTAAAGTCTTCAATGTAGAAATGTACACGCAGAAAGAATCCATTCATGTACATATGTAAATATCTCTAAACTAACCAATTTTGCTAATTGTTTTTGGGTATGTACTAACATACTCAAAACATTGTTAAGCTGGAGCACCCAACAAAAGAAAAACACCAATGTTAAATCTGTTTATTAATAACAAGGTTCAAAGACAAACAACTAAAAAAGATTGCTGGTGCAACGATCAGGACGACATAACTGACCTGTAGGGCCCACTGAGAGTTCTAGCAGGCGGAATAATAAATAAATAAATCCCCACAGACAGGCAGCCATCAGTTTGCTTTTCTTTAATCAATTAGTCCAGTCTAATAAGTTTGATGATTTCGAACAGCTTTCACGATTTTTCATCAAGAGAATCTACTCATCCCTTATTCTAATTACTATCTGAAATTATTTACTACATCATTCTCATCCCAGTGAGTTCTTTAACTTCAGGATCATTCGCAGTGGGTTTCAAAGTTCTGGGCATAAAGTATATGAATCGATAATAGTTTACTCTAACATGAAATCTTAGACAGTGCTTCTCAACAACATATATAGATGTGACGTCTCACTAGTGACTAGTTCTAACTCCAAATTTAACTGACACAGTTCTAAAACAACAGCATTTTATGTTCATTTACATAATATACGTAAAAATTCTCAGATAAGCGAAGACTTTCCAAAAATAAAAAAGAAAATACAGTTTTATAATACTATTCAATGATATACTACTTGTGAATGTACCTAACAAAACAAATGATACAATACGAAAACTAAAAAGGTATATTTTACAAGAATACTAAAGCACAGACATACCTTGCAGACTTTTAAAGAAAATGGAATGAGTTTCTCTAATAGCTAAGTTGTCTAATAAAACAAGGGTTTCGCCTCCACAATAGGCAGAATGTAAAACTGAAGAGAGACTAAATATAACTACTGCGAAAACAGCCTTGAAATCCATAATATAATTTACAATATAAATTATCCTACTATTTAAAAAAATTCTACAAGCCGCTTAAGTTTTCTGCCCCAGAAATTTGTTCATAAATGTTAATAAAATTAATCAAACGACCATGATAATCATTTCCTCAGCACAATCAACACTTATAACAAGTTTAAAGCCGAAATGCCGACACCGACGTGTGCCAAACCCTGTTGCCAGATTACAAAAGACAATACTGTTTCGGTCCGCAATATTAATTAAATTTTATGTAACAAAAATTTTCCTTCCTTATTTTTATTTAAGTTAGTTCATTTATTATTATTACCCAATATAGTGGTACAATTTTTTGAGACAGATAATTACACGCTGCTTTAATATAATAATATAATTTCTATAATAAGCCATTTTGAATAATAATAAATAAAGCGTAGCTGGACAAGCAACTATGACAGATACTATTCTAACCTCCTTAGCCGCAGTACTCCCCTCCAGTGCTAACGATACCTTACAAATACTTTAGGTTAATGCGAACTCGACGACTCGAGAGTGTTCTTGTAGCATCTGATAAGTCGGAATTCGTGCTTTTTGCCGTGGTTTCTGTTCTTGGAACAGCTTGCATTGAAGTCTGTTGGAGACAGATGGGAATCTTGAGATGGTATTTTCGATGGTGAAGACGCATTCGCTCCAGTGGCTTCTGGTGTCCAGATAAATGCCGGCTTAAGACGGTCGATACTAACGACGACTTCTTTTTTCGTTCACCAATATTTTAAAATTTTTTTCGTTTCGAGCTAGTACTTAATGTGGCCCTGAAAATTGTGGTACTTAGAAGCATCACATCTGAGAAAAACATGAGATGAGTTTCTAAGTTCTTTATGCACGAACACAGTTCGTTTGCAATGAACGCTGGCAGAAACTGATCGCTATTTTTGACATGCAGTGTCTAAGCTGATGCAAGAATGTAACAGGATCTACGTAGCATTTAGATGGATTGACTGAATGTACGAAATCTCCAGGCAAACGAAGATTAGTACCATATACCAGTTCGGCAGAAGAGGCATTCAGATTTTCTTTTAACGCTGATCGAAGACCTAGAAGTACAGAAGATAACACATCAGTCCTCTATAATGCAGTGTGGCATTGAATTGATTGTTTTAAGGAACGATGAAATCTCTCGACAATTCCATTAGAACTTGGATGGTAGAGGCTGGTTCTCACTTTGTAAGTGACAAATACTTAGTTAGTGGCGTGAAGAGTTGGGACTCGAACTGACGCCCCTGGTTAGTAGAAATCTGCTCTGGAACTCCAAATCGAGAAATCCAAACGTGTAAAATGCCATTGCTACCGTATCAGCTGAAATATCTAGCAAAGGAACGGCTTCGGGTCCGCAAGTAAATCGATCAATGAAGTAAGAATATAGGAATATTCATTAGAAGGCGCCAATGGCCCGACCAAGTCTAGGTGCGCGCGACTGAAGCGAGATGAGGACAAATTAATATTGTTAAGTTGACTGGGGGTGGTTCTGACAATTTTAGATCTATGGCACTCCAAGCACGAACGTGTCCAGTTGGCTATGTTCTTTTGCCATACGAAGCGTAGCTCTATCAGTTTTCTCGAAGCCTGGATGCCAGGATGTGACAGACGAAGTAACTGACTAAAAATAGAATAGCGAAACCCGGAGGGAACATAAGGTCGAAATCTTGAATCCTGAACATCACAATAAAGTGATTTTCCAGGTGACAGCTACATAGGCTGCAAGTTGAGATAGCTGGAAAATTTGCTTTTCATGAGGGTTTGTAGCTCTGAATCCCGGTGTTGTTCATCCGCAAGGGCAGCAAAGTTTATTGGCGAAGGAACGGCTAGTTCTTCAATACGAGACAAGGTGTCTGCAACAATATTTTGCTAACCCTCAATATAACGGATATCTGTTAAAAATTGCCCTATGAAGTCTAGGTGTCTCATCTGCCGAGGAGAAGCTTTATCCGAATGCTGTTGAAAAGCATGGGTTAAGAGTTTGTGATCTGCGACGATCATGAAAACGCGTCCCTCTAGCATATGTCGAAAATATTTGACAGCTTTATAAATTCGCGATCGTAAGTGTCTGGTTTTGTATCTGGTTTGTGCTGGTGAGAGGTTTTTAGAAAAATATGAAAGTGGTTTCCATACTTCTTGTTCTTTCTGTTGCAAAACTGCTCCTATAGCTGTTGTTGATGTGTCAACGTAGAGTGATAATGGTTTAGATGCTGAAGATTACTGCGAATTTGATGCCAAAATTAAGTTATTTTTGCATTTTTTGGAAAGTTTCTGTGGTCCAGGTTATAACACGTTTATCGTTTTTCTTGCTTCCAACCAAAAACGAATTTAGAGGTGTTTGTATGGTCATTGCATGAGGTAAGAAACGTCGATAAAAATTGAGCATAGCAAGAAATCTTTTTAAGTTCTTCATTGTAGATGGTTCAGGCATATCGAGGATAGCAGTAACTCTATCTGGAAGGGGTCGAACGCCATTAGCGGAGATTTCATGACTAAGAAAGGATACTCTTGGTTTGCAAAAAACGCATTTGGAGGGATTAAAACTGACAGCGTAACTTTGAAACGTTTAAAAACTATTCTCAAATGTGATAAGTGTTCTTGCTCTAAAGAGGAGGCGATTAAGACGTCATCAAAATAAGGTACACAAAAGTCGAGGCCGATTAACACCTGATTCATAAAGCGTTGGAACGTTTGAGCAGCATTTTATAAGCCTCAAACTCCGACTTTAAAAGGTAGCGTGCTGGAAAGGGTTAAGAATGTTATACGTTAGGTTACCCGCGGCTAAGTCTGACATTTTTTACAGCAGTTGAGAAGGCCTCATATCACCCAACTGTAAATCTTGCAACAGCTGCTTCATTTTTAACTGTCTAGGATTCTTCATAAACATAAATTAATTCTTTTTAAAGATTTGTATTTGTCCGTCGCCCGTGGACTCAAAATTATTTCACGAGCCGAACCTCTGATTCTAACGCGGCGATTGCTGTATAAAACTGAGTTTCGTCTGCAGTAATGTGTCAGTTATCAGTTAGTTTGTAGTTGTTCTAAACGTACACTGTTGTCAAAAATTTTTGTGTCTATAAATAAGTCATTTATTTGCGAAACCGAAAAACAAAAATGTCCTTTTATACGACACCACTCGATAGTTCTGATGCAGAGGACTACCGAAGCGAGCGTTCGTCCAAAACCAACAAGATTTATCCATTGAAGAAAGAGGATTTCATCCTTATGGCCAAAGAAAAAAAAAGTAAAGCGAAAAAGGCGAAAACTATGTCAGATACGGAAAGCGAACGACCAAGTAAGAAGAAAGATGTTAAACCTGGTAAGGAAAAAAGAGACATTCAAACACCGAATGGAGAAGCTACTGATGAACAGACACCAGAAGATTTATCAATGGGAAATGATGAGGACATCCCAAAATGAAAGTCATGTTCTGAAGAAGAAATCCGGGACCAGATTGCGAAATTTGGATTTGACGTAATTTGCAATTACTTTCATAAAAGAAGTAAAGGTGAGATGGATGTAGAGACATTCACGAAAAAATTTTATCCAGGGCAGATAACTGAAAGAGGAACAGACAGCAGGGAACAAGAATGGATTTCTCCTAAGAAAACCGCGAAAGTATCAGAAAACGAAGCTCCAATGGAAGTTACGACGGAAAATCGATTTGAGCAGCTAAGTGAAGTAGAAGGTATGGAAGAAGAAGGAAGGAGGAGCCAAAAAAGAGGAAAGAAAACTCCACCCCCAATAGTTTTCCAGCAAAGCGAAGTGGATTGGCCTAAAATTCATGAAATCCTTATCAATACCTGCAGTGAAGAATTCGAAGCCGATATGAAAATGAAACTACTATATGTTAATTTAGTCAGTAGACGATTACAGAAAAGCAACTCTGGTTTTGCAGAAAAAAAAATATACCATTTCATACTTTCCAGTTACTCAGCGAAAAACCTATTAAGGTTGTTCTTAAGGGCCTCCCATCGACGATGAAGGAAGAAATAATCCAGGCAGATCTGGAGAGAAGGAAATTCCCGATAAGTAAAGTCAAGCAGTTTTCCAGACGAAGAGGAGACGCTATCGAGAAACTTCCGATTTTCCTGTTGGAGCTGAAGAAAACGAAGGAAGGACGTGCAATTCATGGACTCAACAATATGTTAAGTGTTAATGTCAAGATCGAGAAGTTTGCCCCGAAAAAACGCGTAATTCAATGCTATAGATGTCAAGAATATGGACATTCGCAACATCTTTGCTCAAATCCTGAGCGATGCTGCAAGTGTGGACAGCACCATAGAAGTAAAGAATGCCCTCTAAAGCCAGAAGAAAAACCTAAGTGCATCTTCTGCTCACTACCGCATGTAAGTTCATACAGGGGTTGCCCCGTGTACAAGAAGCGATATGAAGCAAAGAAGCAGCAGGCAAAGCCAGCAGCTAAGATCCCTACGCCGGCAGATTTTCCGAAATTCTTCGAAACAGAGGAAGACAGCAGTAAAACCCAGATGAAACCTCTCTACAGTGATAGAGTAAAAAAAAAAAATTGGAAAACCCACCCACAGAGTACAAGGATATTATAAGCTGGATCCAAGATCCTAAAATCAAAAAATTTCTGAACAGTATGGTTGAGCACGTTGAGAAGATCCGCGCTGCAAAAACCACGGCTGAGAAGTTTACTGCCGGGTTCAAAGCAGCCATGACACTGATGAGATTTGCTGAAAGTGAAGAGTAATCACCAGCTTAGAAGCATTTGAGGGAATTTCACTATGTTTACGATTTCTTTTCACTTTTTCAACACACAGGTTCCCCTGTTTACAGCAGCAGAGCTCGGGGTCAGTACTTGGGTGGGTGACCACCCACGTGACTGGCCTCGACGTATCATCTTTCTTCAACTAGTGAAGATACATCACAGCTTGTACGGCGGCCAGATGCTTGAACCCTCCTTCTCCAAAGTCTACTTGACCAACTCACGTGCATTAGCACATGTTCCTGCTTCACCTTTGTCGGTGCGGTGTAAATCACCTTAATTTTTAATTCTTCCCAACGCCTTAGGGCATATCTCCAACAGAGACGGTTAAAGTAGCAGAGGCTACTAAATGCCGCCTAACCATTCACTCGATTTCGATTTCTATTTCAGTAATGTGACTCAATATAAATGCGCATCCGTGAATAATAACGATGGCTCTCGGTGACAA